TTACATTTTTCTGGTTGGAGATGTGTTGGATTCTGTCTAGTACTTGGGTGATTAGAGGATTGGACTTTTTTTTTTTTTTTTTTTTTTTTTAGCTATAATTATGGATAGGAAGTCTGTGAAAATTAAGAATTTGCCATGTTCGCTTGTTCTTACTATATAAAGGGATAAATTGATAGCAGTTATTTCAGCAATGTATGTTGAGTCTATGCTCACAAGTTTTTTCCTCAATTTTTATTTTTTCCAAGAATGGCAACATACCCAACCTCACCTTCATTTTTTTCATCCATCTGTGTAGATGAATAGATGATCTGGATGATTCATTTTTATGTTGAGTATATCGGAATGATAGATAACTAGGTTGGTTTTGGTTTTGGGATGTCTTGTGAGATCTAATATTATTTTGGGTCTTTTGATTCACAGAAGCATTTGTGACCCTGCTGAAGCTAAAAAAAAAGCTAGTAAGGAGCAACCATCAAACTCAAAAATACTATATGCTGACTATAGAACCACTATCAAGGAACTATTTACACACAAATGGCAAAAACAATGGGGCACTTATACAAACAACAAATTACAGAATGTTAAAACTAACATTTGTGAACTGAAGACTGAAAACATCAAAAGCAGAAGATAACAAGTAGTACAGACCCATCTCCACATAGGCTCCACCCAAATCACTCACAAATGTCTACTGGAGAGTGAAGAACCCCTAATATTTATAGGATGTCAAGAAAGACTATCGGAAAAGCATATATTGCTGGATTGTCAGGACTTTTACAAGACGAGAGAAAGATATTAACAAGTAAACAATCTGAGAGAACTCTTCAATAAAATCCACTTTTCCAAAATAAACTTTCTAAAAGAAATGAACACACACACACATATATATATATATATATATATATATATATATATATATATATATATATAAAATCCCCCCCTCAAAAAATGAAAGCCTTTTAAGCTGAATAATATTTCCAATCATTCAGTTTCAACCATCAAATGACCTAAAATGGTTTGACTTGCCATAAAACAAAAACAAACCAAACATTTATACACAGATATGGTATTGCATACCAGAATGCTTCCTCAGTGACGTCTATTCTGAGGCCATAGAAAGTTTTGGTCCTCCTCCATGGCATCAGACTTTCTCTCCTATTGGCCAAGCTGAGAGCGATCATTTCTCAACTAACATTCTGGTATAGTTTGTGCATGATATATGTACTGTGTAGGCATAAAAATTAACACAACTGTCTTTTTCATGATTTAAATCATCATTACATGATAAATATAAACTACAGCCCTATTGTAAGCACTCATTGGACATTATATACAAAGAGATACTAAAAAGTTATTAGTTCAACCAAGAAACCCTTCAAAAAACAAAAAAAAATTCTTGTTTCATCAGGTGATCAGATCCAAGAACTTTTTGGCAATCCCTTGTACTTAAAGACTAATTGGGATATGAAATATATTTTTCCTGTGAATTTGCAGATCGTCTCTTGTTGCACATTGCAGTACTAATCTGGACAAGTTTTTGCATGTAGTTTTGATTCTGAACATTTGCCAACAGTTAATCCATACATGCTCCACCTTGCCACATTGAGGCAAGGTAATATCAACTGCCACCCACTAATGGTGGCTCAGTTTTCATTCAGTTGGTATGACATAAATCTTTTGGCTAGATATAAAAAAGAAAAACAAGATAAACTCTCAAAGAAATTTAGTTACAGAGAAAGAAAAAGCAATTACATAGATGGATAATTGGGTCTGCTGTGGTGACTGGTTGGTACAGATTTCCCATTGACACTAGGGGTCTGTATTCAAGCCCAGGTAAATGACAGGGTTTTGAAGGTCTAATTTTTTTAGGTTCTTCCTCAAAGCAGGCTCTAACAAGATTAATGCAGTAAAATCTTCCTTTTTTTTTTTTTTTCTTCCAATCCTTTTTGACCTTCTGGTGAATAAGATTGAAGTAAATATCTGTGTAGGAAAATAACTGAATAATTGATTGGGTAATCTTATGCTTCCAATCTCCTTGGACTTGCAATTTTCTCTTTTAGTTTTATGCATCCTCTTTTATGTTGTTCATTGTTTTCCTTCCTGACATATAACCTTTTTTTGTCTCACTTTCCTTTCCTTTTATCGCAGTTTTCTTTTTTTCTTATTGAAGTTCCTTTCTCTCTCCCTGTATTTTTTTAATTTTTTTTATTTCCTCTTCAATTTTCTTAATCATTTTGGTGTTTTTTTCCTTTTTTTTTTTTTTTTTTCTTTATCAGTATATTTCTTTCCTCTCTGCACTTGCTTTGTAACCTGTTTTGACCAATCACTGTGGTGTTGTTGTTTTTTTTTCTTCCTAAAGAGACACTATCTCACATGGAAATCTCTCTCTCTCACCTTAGTGATTATGATTTTGAACTTGTTTATACAAGCACCAAGCACTTAAGTGAATACTTTCCCGCTGTTTATATTTTCCTTTTTTTTATTTCATCAATTACTTAGTGATTACTTCTTTCTTTCCTTCTTTTCTTTTTTTTCTTATGTTTATTAATATTTGTTTTCTGGATTTAAACATGGGAAATCAGTCTTCATAGCACTGACAAAAAAACAAAAAACAGGTGCAAATGAATACAAGATTCACTGAACAATGCAATTGATGAGCCACCTAACTAAACTGGTAATTTGAATCCTAATGAATAGCACTTTGAGTAGAATTATCAGAAATAGAGCAAGAACAATGTAGCTTTGTTCAAGACACTGGAACAAGAAATGTAATTTTCAGGATCAGGATACTATCAGAGTGAGCAATATTGCAGAAAGATTACACAGATAGTTGATATAGAGTACAACACAGAATTCCTTGAAATGTTAAAAGTTTTATCTACATGGACAGGGGGACAAAATATTCAAATAATATTTATATTTCAAATATTAAACAAATTGCACGTCAAGAAAGAATGAATTTAATGAATACCCAAAAATAGAAAAATAAATACAATACAAATGTGTTTTCTCACTGGACTTATTTAATCTGTACAGCGTGATGATTCTAAAAGGATTAGAAGACTTAGCAGGAGTTAACCATTGATGAATGTAACTTTGACAAGAGACACTATACAAGTGACACTATGTTAATGCTAGATTCAAAAGAAAACTCAAAGAATATTACCCAAGGTAGTTGAAGAAAGCAAGAAGAAAGGATTAAGCATTAACTGTAAGAAGATAAAATGCATGCTTGTCAGTAAAAGGAGTATTATTATATTTGACTAATTTTTTTTATTACATGTCTAATGTTTTTTTTTTTTTTTTTTTTTTTTTAAAACGTTAATATTTTAGCTTTTTAATTTTTGTTACAACCTGTACTACTTGCATTGAAAATAAATAAATTTTCAAATAGACGCTGTTTGGTACTGAGACTACAGTTTAAAAATTGAACAGAGCAAAATAGATATTTATTTCCTAAACATTTTAATGTTGTCTTTTATTATGCTACTAAAAAAAGTATGAATGGTAACAAAATTAATAAAAAGAAAATTAAAATGAAAATAAAACATTTTCCTGTCAGAATAGTTTAAAAGATTTTAAAGTTTTTTTTTTTTTCAGGACAGTGAAAAAAAATTTAGTCTGGAGCCATGTCTGTAAATATATATTAAGCTATGTGCATGTAGTCTGATGGTTACTGGCACATAAAGTGAGTTTGGAGTTTTGAGTTTGAATTTCAGCCAAGGCTGTTGCATTTGGCCTTTCACTAATACCCTATGAAAAGTATAAATCCATCTTTACTTTTCACGGTGAGGCAGATTGGGTTCTCTAGACTTGTTTAGCAGCTATTCTAGAAGGACAATTATGATTTCAGAATCATTTGGCTATGGGGCCAGCAACTTCACCCCATAAAACTTGCTTCTCTTTCATAGTAGTCTTACGGACATATCATGTTGAAATACTGATTCCTGTATGATCAAGTTAAGCAACGTCGAGCCTGGTCAGTAACAGTTCAGAATTGTTAATCAGAGAGTCAAGTTCCAATCCCATTTGAGTTCGTTATATTCACTTACCTGCAAATATCCTTGGGAAAGGTATGAATACACCCATTTTTCCCTCCAGCTATGGTTTAATTAGTAAGACTTGTATCACTAAAACCATTATATCTCAAAAAAGAAAAAAATTAAAATCTCAAATATTTTCTATCTTTAAATAACCTGCCAAGGGTTGATAATTCATAAAAAAATGAATCACTCTTTAATAATAGCATGGTGAGGCTATGGCCCTATTCTTCACTGGGGTGTTTACAAAATTGAGTGAAAGAGAGATCTTTATTCAATTAAAACTTCTATTTTGATGTTTAATTTTGAATTTGAATTTTTAACTTCCTTCTCTAACTCTGATATACCAAATAAGTACATAAACCTTACAGCCAAACATATCACCTCAATTGTTAGTAATGATAGAAAGCACAAAAATTTTTGAATGTTATCTTTATTTGATCATTTCTTATATGAAAGCTTTTATTTATTCTTGTGACTTACATTTATTCAATTAATATTATTAAAAAATAAAGATTTCCAGCTGAAGTGTACCAACTGTAACTAGTTTATAACATTATTCTAATTCTTGCATTAATATTTCCATCTGAGAACAATAAAAGCAAATACTATATCATTTTGGAAGTTTTATTTTCTATTTCAATATAAAATATTTGCATTAAATAATTTTCTTCCTTTCAACAATATTTAACCATATTTAATACAATTTTTTTTTAATGCTATAAATAGTTGTTTCACTGTCATTATAATTGCTTACGGTCATATTGTGTTGACCAATAAAATGTTTGGTTTATTAAGTAAATTTTCTGAACAAACTTTTTGTCCAAACCAATATTTAATGTTCGGAAAATGCAAATTTAAGAAATTGTCTTTTGTAGCTTTTTCAGGAAATAAATAAACAACAAATCTATTAATTATGATATATTAAACAATTTTAAAACCATTTTTACTTCATTTAAGATGGCTTGGACAAACTTAGAGAGAAGATTAAAAGACAACAATTGGCTAGCAAAGGTAAGTGTTAATAGTTTTCCTGTTTTTATTTAATATATCATGCATCTCATTCTTGTTGACTTTACTTCAAGTGCCTCTTAAACCTTGTAATATGTAAACTTTAGTATTTAAAAAAAAAATGTAATGTTTGTATTGTGCTTATCTGGTTAAAAGACCACCAATGATTTCTATGAAATGAATCAAGGAATTTCAAAAGTAAATACTTGGCAGTTGTATTTTTGTTTTTAATTATGAACCCAAATCAAACTTTTTTTTTTTTTTTTTTTTTTACATGCTGAAAATTTCTCAATTTGGCCCACTTTCAAAAATCTGATTAAACATCTCTTTTAATTTCCTTTTGGCTGGGCTGAGAGCTCTTCACCACCTTCTTTGTATACATATTAAATGACAGTTATTATCTACAGATGAAGAATACAAGGGTGCTTATATATTTAGTATATAAACAAGGGTTGCACTAATTAATTAGCTAATAATCTATAATTGGTTGTATCAATACTTGTTGATTAATTGGTCACTTTTTTTTTTTTTTTTTTTTTTTTTTTGTTCTCATGTTGAAAAAAAATACAACAATACCAATCAATGTTTTTCCCCTGAGCTTTTTTATAGATTCTCTTGGCTTATGGCCACATCATGTTGAAAACACTGATTCCTGTATGATCACTAAAGTTAAGCAATGTCGAGCCTGGTCAGTACCTACAAGGGTGACCGCTTGTGAATACCAGGTGGTATAATGAATAATGGTTCAGAATTTGTTGTGATGATATAACCCAACTTCCCCATTCACGATAATGGACGGACTGGTTGCCGATTAAGTACGACCACAGCGGACAGTCAAGAGGTCTTCGTTTGTTAACACCTATTGAGGTTAGCATACTCCCGACTCTGTCTCTGTATTGACACACCTACATCAGATTATAAAACTATTATTGAAACCCAACACTCGTGTTACTTTGTTTATTATATCTTGCACGAGATATAACAGCTGGCGACGAGGATTGTGCAACGTACTTACCTGGAAAAAAAAATATATATATATATATATATATATCAGATTACGCTGAACGGATTTCGGAAGCAGATTCGCAAGTCAAAGATATCTGTTGACGCCGATTAGGATTTAGAAAACGGAGTCACAAGTCAAAAGGAAACTTTTTGAAAAGTAAGAAAATTTTTACTCTTAAATTGTGATTTGAAAAATATATATTGAACCACGACTCAAATGCGAGCCGATCTAATAATTGATTATTCAAGTAAAAATTACGGGTTGTAAAAATATTACGGCTGTAAATTGTCTGTTAACCGTCTATAAAAAAAAAAATAAAAAAAATTTTTTTTTTTTTACCGAATTCTAAATAAAGTCAGGATGGAGCAATTAGTTGAAATGACTAAAATGCTGTGTACAAGCTTGCAACAACAACAGCATCAAGAGTTACAGCAACAAAAACAGCACCAAGACTTACAACAACAAATATTGCAACAGCAAAAAAGTCTCGAAAAAATTCTGAAACAGGCGACTGGAGAAAGAAAAAATACTGTTTTTTCTGCCGAAGGAATAGCAAATCCATTATCCGAATTTATTTATGATCCTGATTCGGGCATTACATTTCTAGCATACTTTAAACGTTTCGAAACTATATTTACCAAGAGATGTCAACATTGGTCGGATGAGGAACGAGTAACATTATTAGTCCAGAAACTAGGGACAAACAAGAATACGAAGTACTCAAACTTGATATTGCCCAGAAAGCCAGAAGAAGTTTTGTTTGAAGAAAAATATTTGACGAAAGGAATAGTCTGTTCCACACGCGATACAGATGCCTAAACATCGTTAAAGCAGATAACGAGGATTTTGTAACATACGCGGGAACAGTGAACTCCCTGGTTGAACAATTCAAGTTAGAAGAAATAACCAAAGTGCCTAATTTTTCTTCAAGGACTAACTGATCCTAAATATAAAGAAATTAGGTCGAGAATATTAATAATGGTCGAGCAAGACTCGAAAATAACATTACAAAGGGTGACCGAAGAATGCCAACGTCTCATAAACGTAAAAAGGGATAATACACAAATTGAGGAGAAAAGTGTTAATAATGTTCGACACGTAAAAACTCAAACTCCAAAAGCCAAAAAGATAGAAAAATGTGAGACGTGTGGAAAAAAAATAACCATACCAAAGACACGTGTTGGTACAAAAATAAATTCTGTCAATCGTCCAAGGAAATAAAGGGCATAAATATTCGGTTTGCCGCAAGAAAAGGAAATTACAAGATGTAAGCCTGGTATTATCAGAAAAAGAAATTCAGAAAGGTAAAAATAGAAAGTACGTAGATGTACGTATAAATAATCATACAATTACTTTCCTATTGGATTCTGGTTCAGACATAAGCATCATTGATGAACAAACATGGAAAAATATTGAAGACCTAAATTATCTGAAACCAAAAAAAAAACGCTAGAGGGGTTTCAGGAAAGAAATTAAACTTTAAGGGAGAATTAAAGTGCGATATTTCGTTATGTGGCAAGACTGCAAAAACGAAAGTGTATGTAATCCAAGGGATTAATTCATGTCTTTTGGAATAGACTGATAGTACTTTTTGATTTGTTTGAACTCCCGATTAACTCATTTTGCAAACGTAATAAACAGTGCAGAAAAACAAAAAAGTATTAAAATGAAAAATTCATGAATGAATTAAAAGAAGAATATCCCAGAGTTTTTTCTGAGGGATTGGGTTTATGTACTAAGACGGAAGTCAAATTTGAACTCAAGGAAAATGTGAAACCAATTTTTAAACCTAAGAGAAACGTTCCTTTTTCCTCCTTAGACACAATTAATAAGGAATTGGAAAGGCTTTAAAAAATGGGAGTGATATCTAAGGTTGACCATGCGGATTGGGCCTCGCCCACAGTTTATGTTAAGAAGAAAAACGGAAAAATAAGAGTGTGCGCAGATTTTTCAACAGGGTTAAATGATTGCCTTAAAAATCAGTTATCCACTACCTTCACCAGAAGATATTTTTTCAAAAATCGACCTGTCTGACGCATACTTGCAGATTAAAGTGAGTGACGAATGCTCAAAATATTTGTGTATAAATACACATAAAGGTATTTATAAGCTAAATAGGCTTCCTTTCGGCTTAAAGGTCGCCCCAGCTTTGTTTCAACAGGTGATGGACACTATGCTGGCAGGCCTTGAGTTTGGTACCGCCTATTTAGATGACATTCTAAAAAGTAAGAATGTTCAAGAACATAAAATGCACATCAAAGCGATATTCAAAAGACTAGAAGATTTTGGCTTTAAAATAAGCCAGAAGTGTAAATTCTTCATGGAAAGAATTACATACCTCGGACAGGTAATAGACAGTGAAGGCAGGAAACCAGATCCACAGAGAGTCGATGCAATTAAGAATATGCCTGCACCCGACACAGTTGTGAAACTACAATCGTTTCTGGGTTGGCTCAATATTATGCAATCTACATACCTAAAATGTATGATTTAAGAGCCCCCTTAATGAATTGTTGAAAAAAAGACAAGAAATGGTTTTGGTCAAAAGATTGCAGACGGCTTTTCAGAAAATAAAAAATGCCTACTCAGATCTCACCTTAGCACATTATGATCCTGAGAAAGAGATCATTCTGGCAACTGACGCAAGTTTGTACGGAGTGGGGGCTGCACTGCTACACAAATATGAAGATGGCACTACTAAACCGATCGCGCACGCGTTGAGGACTCTTCTTCCGGCTGAAAAAAATTATAGCCAGATTGAGAAAGAGGCTTTGTCGATTGTGTTCGGGGTTAAAAAATACCATCGCTTTTTACATGGTAGATCATTAGTACTTCAAACGGACCATAAACTGTTACTTACAATATTTGGAGGTAAAAAAGGCATTCCTACACATACATCAATTTTCAATAGATTGTTACCCTATCAAAACAAAAAAGTTGCTAAGAAAGTGAAAAAAGCGAAGAAGAAATTCCGATGGAAGTGTTATGCGATGCTTTTAACATGACACTACCCAATAGTGTATTTGAACCTGTATCTCATGGACCAGCCTTACGGGCTGAAAAGCGAAATTATCTTCGCCAAAAAAGGATCTAATTGTGACGACTAAAAGAAGGAGCACACGGAAAGAAAACCAGTGGAGCGCTTTAGTCCGGATCCAAAAGAAGATTTACATTAGAAGCAGAAATTTTCAAAAGGGAGAATTTCAGCTTAGGAGGGAGGTGTTGTGATGATATAACCCAACTTCCCCATTCATGATAATGGACAGACTGGTTGCCGATTAAGTACGACCACAGCAGACAGTCAAGAGGTCTTCATTTGTTAACACCTATTGAGGTTAGCATACTCCCGACTCTGTCTCTGTATTGACACACCTACATCCGATTATAAAACTATTATTGAAACCCAACACTCTTGCACGAGACATAACAGAATTGTTAATCAGAGAGCAGAATTCCAAATCCCATTGGCTTTGTTCTATTTACTTGCGTGCAAATATCCTTGGGAAAAGTATGAATTTACCTTTTCTCCTCCCAGCTATGGGTTAATTAGTAAAACTTGTATAACTAAACCATTATAGTCTCCAAAAGAAAAAAAAATTCATACAATCTAAAAATATTTTTTGGCTTTAATTAACCTGCAAAGAGTTAAGCCTTAGAAAACTAACTAATCAATGAAATATTGATTAGTTACACAGATGTCTTTTAGAGTTATTTATTCTGTGGAATATAAATGTATAAAAACTACCGTGGCCATAAAGTGAAGGATCAATTTATATATTGATTGTAATATAGAATTGATCCCTCATTTTAGATCCACACTATAATTTCTTGTTTCTTTATCAAATTCTGATTAGGCCTGAATCCACTTCTCTCCCAGCTATGGGTTAATTAGTAAAGACTTGTATCAATAAACCATTATCTCCAAAAAGATTTGTACCTGCAAGATTAACTTTAATGTGTCGACCCCTTCCTCTGATTTCTTGATTCCTGGCTACCTTCCTCTCTTTAGAAAGGACTCTAAAGTCCACATGCATAGCCTGGGAGTTTATATCCATGATCATCTCCTGCTAGCTAGGGAACTCTCTTTTGAATCTCCAGACCATATGTATATGTGTCTCATCTATCTCTCCTTAATTCAGTAAGCTATCTCTTCTTTCTTTACTGTTTCCCTTCATCTCCAGACTGTAGTGTGCTCTGTAGTATTTCTAATAATATAAACAGGGCCATCACTCTGCACCCATTTGCAAACATATTCATGTTCGGTGACTCTAATGCCCACCATACCAGGTGTTTTAAACACTCTATCACTGACCTCACTGACATCCAAACCCTTAAATTTTCAATCACTGAATCCCTCATGCAAGTGGTTGACTTTCCTATGTGTTTTCCCAGTAACTCTGGCAGTAACACCTCCCTTCTTGATCTCTGTTTTACCTCCATCCCTGATACTTGTCATGCTATGTAGCTCTGCCCTTTTGGCAACTCTGATCATGTAGTAGTGTATATAAACATCTCCTTCCACTCCCCCTATGAACCTTCTACCAACTTTCTGTTATCAACACACAGACTGGGACTCATTCTGTGATTTCCTTTGGAATGTAGTTTTTAATCATCCCATTCAAAAATGCACATCAGAAGTCTCCTCCTGAGTAAAAACCGGTATTGAGGCTTTCATTCCAGTGAGGAACTACCAAGTTAAATTGTGTTCCTCTGTTTGGTTCTCACCTGCTTGGTTAGCCACTATAGCCCACAGGAATCACTTCTGTCTTTACCAGAATGACATGTCTGATTGCAACAGGTATCTCTTTGTCTTTGTTTGTAACAAGTGCAAGCATGTTCTCAAAGAAGAAAAGTTGATGTTTGCTGGTAAAATGAAACAATGTATTGCATTTTGTAAGTTCTAGAGATTATTGGTGGTTCTGCAAGAGTGTGCTGAACAACAGCAATTCTTCAATCCCTCCTCTATTCAATCAATTCAAAGTCCTGACTTCCACAATAGATAAGGTTGAACGATTTGCTCAGAAATTCTCGCCCAACTCAACACTCAACCTATCCAAAGGGCCCACACCTGATTTCCCCCTTAGAACTGAGGCTCTACTGAGTGATATGTCCTAAAGAAATGTACTCCCAAGCAAATTTCTACAAATATTTTGATGGCAATTGCTCTGAGCTATTTCCCCTGGTGCCCCGACTGCATGAATTTAAGTGTTCTACTAGGTTGGCATGTGGGTTCCATCCTTTTACTTTTGAAGCAGTTAAAAATAACCACCTCTTCTACTCTAACAGCTTCTTATCTTGCACTTCCTGACAGTGAAAGTTCTTTCCTCTTACTTGCTTCCTCGATAACTATAATCTTCAAAAATTTAAATGTAATGTCAATCGTACTTCTGATTCCTTGATCCCTGTTCTTTGTTTTATCCTCTTCTCAACCCCCCTTATATCCAGTCTTTTCTCTTACCTTCATTCTCTCTAACCCCTTGTGCACTAGTGGCACTCTCGCCTTGCTTGGAGTGAAATGCTTACAAAGAAAAAAAAGAAAATCTAAAAATGTTTTCTGGCTTTAAATAATCTGTTAATCTTAATTTTTTCTTTCCAAACTTTTTTGATAGAAATTAAATTATACTACTCAACTGATTAATCAGTGCAACCCTAATAGAATTAAAAACAAATTTTGAATTTAATTGATTTTAAGTACCATTTTTGATGATAAAGAAAAGGAATCCTTGTAACAAGTTTTTGTCTTTATAGCATGCATAGGAAAAAGAATTACTTAACCTGTAGCAAAACCTCTCCAAATAAATCACTTTTTTTTTTCTAAATGAATCAATCTTGATAAACTCAAAATAAAATCAAGTTGAAGAATGACAAAATATTATTTGACTCATGAGTTTGTTTGATATTGATGCTCTTTATTTGATATATATTTTATTACATATTTTATTGAAAGTAATCTATGCTTAGAACCTTCTTAGCATCAACTGATCTGAAATTCAGGATGAAGGGGTGATGAAAGGTTCTTGGCTCAAATCATTTTCAGAAACTTTTTCTTTTTTCTTGTTTAAGATGAAAATTTTTCAGCACCTACTTGTGATTGTTTTAATTAAATATTTATTTGTTTATTATCATTCTGTAATATTTATTAGCAGAATGACTGATAATTTACATCCATAACTTGTTTTTTTTTTTTGAAAAGAAATAAAAGCCAGAGAATAGCAATGAAAATGAAGTGATAGCTCCAGCCGATGATCAGTCTTATATGACTGGCACCCAGTATTGTGCAGATGGCAACAATGCTAATAGTAGTCCTGCCATGATGGAAGAGGAACCTCACACACCTGTACGAAAGGTATCTTATCATTGTGGACAGCATATTGCAGACGAAGAAAATGAAAGACGTGTAAAAGTGCGAAAAATTTCCACAAGTGTCCCATCTCCATCATATAAAGGTATGTAAACTTGCTTCTCTACTTATTTTTTTCCTTTGTTTTGTTTTATAGCCCAATGTCACAAAGGGACATAGGTAATGAATACTGTATAATTTTTTTTTATTATTTGTGAATTGCCAAGACTTTTTGAGAAAGATAGCAACAAGGTTTCCTGATGTCTTTTCTAAGGTTTAGAATTTAGTTTACTTTTTTTTAGCCTGATTGCCATCCAAGGCTAGACAGATCAGTCTACCCTGCTATTAAACCCATAGCTGGTGAGAGAAGATATAAATTCATGCTTTTCTTAAGGGTATTTGTGTAAAAGTGAATGCAACAGACGAGCTTGAAATTTTAACACTGGCAACTGTTTTTATGCTTAAAAGAAAAACTGCTTGCATTTTTTTCATTTCTTTTTAATGATGAAGTAAAGCATTTTGAATAGTTTGCATGCAAAAGTTGATGAGACACTTGAAAGGTAGAGCAGTAATTTAAAAAAAAAAAAAAATTTTACATTCTATGATGTCAGCCAAAAAACGGTTGCAACTTTCCTAAGATCATTTTAATGTCTTCTTCAAACTGCCAATTCAAAAGAAGAGATTAGCTTAGATCTTTCTCTTTTTTTTTTTTTTTTTTTTTTTTTTTTTTAACTTTGAGAGGAAAAAAAACAAAATGCATAATTAAGTATTTTCATGATGGCATTCAGTATCACTTAATAAACATGAATTTTCATGAAAATGTTTTTAATAATTATTTTTGTCATAATTTTTGAGATGAAGAATTATTACATGCTTTGCTATTCTGATCAGGATGCTCATCTTGATTGTTATACTCAGAATGTTTCAGTTATACACTCCAGCCTTCATCAGTTGTCTGTTCTAAAATAAAAATAAAAAAGCCTCTTTGATATATATGTTGTGTGTGCATGTATCCATGTATGTACAAGTATTAAAAATAAAAAGGGCTCTAATATTTGTATGGGTGGATATATATGTAGGCACATATATGTATGTACACATACATATCTATATATCTATGTACATGCATATATACATATCTATCTATATATAGCTGACCACTTGTATTCGAGGATACCTGTCCACTAGGGCAGCTAGCCAATCCCTATTGCAGATACTTGCTCAGGTACGTGTTTATTCAACACCTACAGAGCCCATCTGTGGTTTATACTGAAACTATGCTGAGCAGACCTTAGTTACAGTTTCTGGGAAAGAGCGTGTTATCTAGTGTGATCAACAATTTGAACAAGGCCAGCACACTCAAGCGCTTGGTTACAATGATTTGTGACTTTGTGGTAGAACAGTTATCAATGGCCCCCAAGGGTTCCATCTACCCAATTTCACTCATAAGGCTTGGGTCAACCTGTGGTATGGTTTTCAGGCACTTTCCAAAGGTGCCACATGCTGGGATCAACATCAGGAAGCCCCCTTTCTGACAAATCTATCCTGGTGAGATTCAAACCAGGTCTCATAGTCAGAATGTGAACATTCTAACCACTCAGTCATATATATATATATATATATATATATATATATATATATATATATATATATATGGACAAAGTCCGACAATTATTTTAAGACATTTTTATGTTTAACATTATTTTTATAGATACAAATATTTAAGAAAATGCTCTGTTTATAATAAACAATTAAACAACATTTACCGGCCTGAATGTCCGAGAAATTTTCAAAGAAAATATTTGTCCTCTGACAGGATTCGAACCTGTATCCTATACGGAACCGTCATTTAGCTTGACGTGCCTTTACCGATTTGGCTGCGAAGGAGCGTTTGGTTAGCAAGGTCAAATTTACTGTATTTAAACTTCAATCTTCCATGAATCTCTCGCATACATTCATGTCTGCTCATGGCATATCAAATATAAACAAATGACGTCACACATTATGAAATGGACAAAGTCTGACAATTATTTTAAGACATTTTTATGTTTAACATTCTTTTAAATTGTCACTTTCATCTTGCTCATTGTAGTAGACTTTGTAATCACAGGTACAACTATAGTATACCATTGACCAATACTGGTGTCAGACGCCTTCAAATAATCTCATACTAATAGTAGTTGCTCGATAATACTTGCTCGAATAGTAATCTGTATAAAAAAATAGTATAGTGAATAGAGTAGAGAATAGCAGTCCATATAGTAGTAGTGAATAGAGTAGAGAATAGCGGTCCATATAGTAGTAGAGGATGGACTAGAGAATAGCTAGGTCCGTAAGTAGGATGGACTAGAGAATGGACTAGTAGTAGAGGATGGACTAGAGAATAGCGGTCCGTAAATAGTAGTAGAGGATGGACTAGAGAATAGCGGTCCGTAAATAGTAGTAGAGGATGGACTAGAGAATAGCGGTCCGTAAATAGTAGTAGAGGATGGATAGCGTTTAGTAGAAAATAGTAGTAGAGGATGGACTAGAGAATAGTAGTCGGAAATCCGTAAGGATGGACTAGAGAATAGAGGATGGACTAGAGAATAGCGGTCCGTAAATAGTAGTAGAGGATGGACTAGAGAATAGCGGTCCGTAGTAGAGGATGGACTAGAATAGTAGTAGAGGATGGACTAGAGAATAGCGGTCCGTAAATAGTAGAGGATGGACTAGAGAATGGAAATGGACTAGACAGAGAATCCGTAAATAGTAGTAGAGGATGGACTAGTCCCGTAAATAGTAGTAGAGGATGGACTAGAGAATAGCGGTCCGTAAATAGTAGTAGAGGATGGACTAGAGAATAGCGGTCCGTAAATAGTAGTAGAGGATGGACTAGAAGCAGTGATTAATTAGATGTCACGTGAATTCCTACTTATGCGCTTCCTCTGTGGTCATGTGGTCTACTTAATTCAATAATGGGATCGCCTGTGTCTGCTCACTGGCAATCTATATTCAAACTCAAGTGTTGGCAGTGACACTTTATTCCTTTATAAAAAATAGATATGTTGAAATGCCAAAGTTTACAATAATAGTTTCTCTTTTTACTATTCCTGTAATAAAAACGCCTCTAAACCATACTTAGTTACCTCCCTTTAAACAATTTCAGCAGTCTCACACTGACACAGTGTTCCTCACTCCATTTGCAAGAAATTTAACTTTCAGATAACACAACAATTTGTCTCTGACAATAATGAATACTATAATATTCATTTTATTATAAACAATACCCTGATGATGACATGGATATGTTGAAAGTACTTGGTAATAAAACAAATATGTATAAACATGGCGATTTTTCTCTCCTCTTTCAGTAATGTTATAAAAAACTTATCTGTGAGTATGAAAGGATTTTATTGAAAATGAGTAGATAGTAGTCTAAACTGTACAATGAAACATTTCTTAATAAATATATATAAAAACAAAGTGGTGGTACAAAACTTAATAACCGCCACAGACAAATTTTATTTTTATTGTTAATACTTCCACACATGATAATAATTAAAAGGAAAAAATGAAGGACAAGCTAGCTAACTGGTTTTGAACCTCACTCAACAGAGCTAAATTGAGGTTAATATATATATATATATATATATATATATAGTTGGGGGAAGTCAAATAAATATTTTTACACATACAAATTTTTAATTTATTGTATTTCCAACTAATGAATGAATATACTTTTCCTATAGTTAACTGTACGCAGATACATAACTCAATATGCATAGAAAACAAAAAATTATGTAATGGGGACAAATCCCATTTATCTATTTTAATGGGTGAAAAAGTATTTATACAATACTAAAAGAATAACATTAGGATTCTCAATGGATGAGATAGTGCATTGGTAAACTACGGATTCTGTGAAGCATTCATTATTCAAAGGAGAATTTTCAGGATTTCTACAGTTACATAATTTTTCTTTATTATTGTTTATTCTTATTTCAGGATGTCTATTTTATGATTCTGGCATAAGTATTTATTCAAGATTCTATTATGTTTTTTTTTTTTTTTAATCCTTTCTAAATTTTCAGTACAGCTGTAACTTAATTTTAGGGTATTTTTATTAAAAATTTTGCTAAGTTTACTATTTCTAGGAAAATGTTTTTCAATTAAAGCAAGAAATTTATGTCCTAACTTACTACTAACCATTTGGTTGAATGGAGGTGTGTACCAAATAATTTCTATTTCTATTTTTTTCTCTGGTTTTTATCATTTTTTATATAATTAATGTCGGCATTTATAAGCCACTATTCTTTAGAGCTTTATTATAAAAATTACTGTGTTCATAGAATATTTTTTCGTTAGCAGAATTTATACTTATTCTTTTTTTCAATAGATGAAGGTATGTGCTTTATTATAGATGCAGGACAATTCAACTTGGGGTGTATATAAAAGGATTGGTATTAGGTTTTTTTATAAGGTAGTTATATATTATTCGGTAAATCTAATGTTATTTTGAGGAAGTTTACCTTTTTTAATTTTGTATTAATTTTCAATTTCAGGCTCTTAAGTTCTCTATGTATTATCTTTCTAATTTTATCTATTTTAAAGTTAGTAGACTTGTAGATCTTTAAATGACCCATGTCCTTCATGCGTACATGAAAAGTTTTATATTATTAAATTTCTGAAATATAAAAATTTATTAAATCAAAGAAATGAACTAGCAGTTTTCTGTAGACATTGTCATTGCCTTATATACTCCTTAAAAAATAATTAGTTATAAAAAATGATTCACATATTTATATCTGTTATTTGATCATAAATTAAATAATTTATAAATATGTAATTAAATTCTAATATATTAATTTTACAGTGGCATATATATAGTCTGTTAGTAAGTTAAATAAATATAGTATTTTATAAATTTTGCTAAAGAGCTCTGCATTATAAATTTGATTGTTCTTTCCTATTATTTGAATATATATATATATATATATATATATATATATATATATATATATATATATATATATATATATGAAAAAAGTAATAAAATGTCCCTGAATTAAAATCCTACAATACCAAATTGCTTTAATACACATATAGATAAATCAAAGAAGTACAGATAGACTTGTCTGAAGTTGAGGAGTGATAAGCTGGGGTAATTAATAGGATTCATGATACCAACTTATCCTCAGAGAATCCAAGACATTTTCCTTACAGTTTTGTCTTTGTTTTAGTTAAACTGATGATAGCAGAGAATATAAACTTTCTCCAGCAAAATATGTCTTTGCTAAAGAAATTGTCCACTTTGTCTCATCTTTTGTTTCAGATATTATACATCATACAAATACACACACAACCCTTTGTTCAATGTATAGGAGTAGAGCGTTCTCATTTCATTTTACATACTGAGTAGGGATAACTCACATCAATGAATATTCACCAGTCTTATTCACCTTTGTTTTGCTTGTCTGTTTTTCTTATTGAGCTAGAGTATTTGATTTTTCATCACTACCAGACTCAGATGTTGAACTTGTAACTACCAGAAAACTAGTTTAATCCCTGGGTCTGAAAGTGCTGAAGGCCAGAGGGTAGAACAGCTGAAATGTTGTGAGTATATCAATCATGATATGATAATAAATGCAACTGTATATTCTATTCTAATTGTTTCTTTTCTTGCTCATGGAAATCCCTTCCAATTTTTTCCTTCCTTGCCACCTACAATCTGTCTTCTGCCTTCCTGGACCCTGTTCTTTTATTGTCCTTTCTCCTCACTAAAGTCTTCTCATTCGTTCCCACTCCAGTACCTCCTTGCACTCTAGTGACATTATTGTCTTGCTTGGATTGAAATGATAAATAAAACAGCATCTTTTTCATGTGTAAATCATGCAAGTAAGTTTTTTTTCATTTGTTATGTTAGAAGAAATTTCTAAAGAACATTTTTCATGTTATATTTGAGGTTATTGAATTTATACACCTTTGTAAATGCCAGGTTTTCCTGTTAGTTACTTATTATCAATGTTCTGTAGGTTTTACTGATCTTAAAGGAAAACCTCGTAACAAAAGCAGCAATGCCACTAGTAAACTCAAGCCGAAACTTAAAGAGACAAATATGGAGTCCAAAATCAACGATAAAAGTAAGTAATCAATTTTGCAAAGTAATTTTAACAAATATTTTGTTTTAATTAATTTCTCTGAAATATCTCATTATGTAATTTTTTTTTTTCTAAACTGACCTTCAGCATTATTTTGACTCCAACAAAATCATCAACATTTCCTAAATAAGAATTTCAGACTCTCTGAACCTTCATTGGTGCCAAAAATAAAACTGAGTGTGTTTAATGAAATTATTCCTTTATGATAAAGTGAACCAACACACCATTGTGTCAACCATATCTTGTTGGCAATAATGGTCATCTTAGTGGTCTTATCTGGACTGATGACTTCCAGATTTTCCTTTGAATGAGTTGGGTGGATGAGGCTCACATATAATCATCTAAAAATGTACACCATCAAACAGTTTCAAAACCAACTTTTTATTCGATTTTAATGTTTTGTGTAGTACAGGGACCAGGGAAGTATCTTTGAGTTATAACTTGGGAGATTCTAAAGATGGTTTATGTCCTGATGTTTAGGAACAGAGTATAGAAGCTATTGATACAAGTTTGCTGAGAATTTATTCCAACACTGATAATTTAATGCCTCAACAAACAAAGACAGAAGTTAGAGTAGTTTGTTTAAAATTCATTTCAGACAGATTTGACTAAAATAAATTAGGTTTCTTTTTATTGTGCTTTCATACAAAGAAATCATGATTTACAGTGTGTGTGAGCTAGACACCTGGCCAACTTTAACAATTGCCAAGATAAAAGGAAAGATGGGGCTTCTTTATAATTTCAGTTCCCATGGCTCTGTTCTCTAGTTATGTGTTAATTAATAATACTCATTACTCGTCCTTAAGCATCTATGTGCTTTCTTGCCTACATTCAAAAGGTAGGCCTTATATCAAAAGTTGGTTCCTTCTATTTTCAGAGACTCATAGCAATGCATTTCATAAAATGCTTTTACTGGTTGGTCTCTGGCAACATAAAACTTATCAATTTCTAAAATTAATGAAGCTACAAGAAACAGAGGTTGAAATACCTGATTCTTTGATCTTTGTTAATTTTACTCTATCTGACTCTGTTAAATTGAATTTCAGGTTTGTGCCCTTGTTGTTATCCAAAGTCTAAGTACTAATTTAACTTAACCACTTCTAATCAGTCTTCTCAGTTAATTCCTTTCACTAATCACTTCTGATGTTCAAAGCAATGTTTTGCTGGAGTACAACAGTGATGTAAGATCATATAAAGACAAGCAAAACATTTTGATGATGAAATAATGATGTTATGAATTTATCTGGATAAAAAAATTGCCAAAGAAAATAGCTGTAATTTTTGCATCAATCTAATACTTAGCATCATTAATAAAGTTCCACTTACAATTTAAATTTGAAAAAAAAAATTGTTACCTTAATACTAATATAAAAGTTAATTAAATTGCATAAACCTGAAAGAAATGTGTTGCCCTAACTTTTACGGCGTTATTAACTGTTTCAGTCCTAACCTCATCATCATCAACAACAACCACCACCTCTGATAAATGTGATAGCAAAACAAATGTGAGTGAGCCTGTAAATGATAAAAACAAATCTCGACGAAAAGGTAAGTATTTATAAAGGATGTAAATGAGCATTTAATAATTTTAATTATGCTTCCTAAGTTTGATGGATGTGCAGGTGGGGTGGAATGAGAAATCAGAGAGGAGTTTGAATTCCAGTCGAGTTCATTATGTTCACTTATGTACAAATACTGTGTGGGGAAGGTTTAAAGCTATTGCTTCTCCCCTCCCAAAGTATGAGTTAAACAGTAAGACTTTTATCTGGAAAAAAATCATTGTTAACTCAAAAAAAAATTCTTAATGCAATACTCACTCACAAAAATGAATTATTCTTAAAATATATTTATGCTTTAAATAATTCACAAAGAGTTGATAATCTGTAAAAAAGGAAATCAATCAATCAATCAATCAATCCTAAGATTGATTCTTCTACATGAATTTTATTTATTTTGTCATAAAGTCAAATTTTGTTTTCTTTTGCAAATTTGTAGCTCTCAGCTGGAGCATATTTTGTGATTTACTTGGGCATTAATTTCTATTCCAAAATTTTTAGATATTTTCTATTTCTGTTCAATGTTTTAGTCATGTAGTTTTTTTTTCTTTGTTTTACTAATTGTTCACTCAATACAAGGCTCGTGAGCCATTCAACACTAACAAATTCACCAATAGATTTTGTCCTGTATTTTTGTTGTGTACATCAGTATTAATGTTGAAAGAAACATTTGTTTTATGTAACAAATATTTTTGTTTTCAACATAACCTCCTCAATCTGCCTCTATTAATCACTTTGGCCTGGCAGTAGGATTCAACTAGTTCACATCGTGTCATGTGAAGTGGTTACTAAAATTACAGAAGTTCAAAGAACCAGTTCTTGAGCTGTTTTCTTTATCTCTTATTTTTTGAACCAATCAATTAATTTTCTGAAATTAGATGTGCACAACTTGTTCATATTAATCTTTAAAAAAAAATAAGTTGTAAAGTTTTTTAAATTGTTGTATTTTTATTTATTTTGCTTATTCAATTTGATTCACATTATTTTTGTATAACAAAATGTGGTAATATTTGAATTAGGTATTTGAATCATTAATTCCCTAAAAAAAATAGATGTCAAGAAAGGGAGAATTGGTTCATAAAAACATTGAGTTCTGCATTGTCTTAAGTAAATTTCTGATAAAAATTTGGTTAATAAAATGGTCATATTATCTACCTCCATATATATTTTCTTGTTTTTATAATAGAACTTGAGAAATTAATGTGGTTACTTCTACTTAACCCTTTAGTGGCCATTGTTACTCAGGTGGAATTTAAAAATATATTTTTCTGGTACCAGATAAGTATTAAATTTGGTTATTTTATTGATAATATACATGGAAAAGATTACAATATGCTCACATGAAATTAACTTTAGTCTTGTATTAAAAAAAAATATCTTAAAGTATGTTCCACTTGTTGAACAATGGACACGGAAATGTTAAGAAATAAAGCAACCAGTCTTTTCATGCTCTAATCAGATAATGTTGTAAATATTTTGACCAGACTCACTGTAAATCCACATGATATTATTTTCTTTCTGCATTTGGAAAATAACATTGCATCCTCCATTATTAAATAGAAATTAATTGTTTTCAACTCTGAAGATAAATTCTTTATTATTATTTTTTTTTTTTTTTTTTTTTTTTTTTTTTTTCTTTTTAAGATCTGATTACCCCTTCATCGTGGCGAGAAGGTCAAGAAATTATTCGTCGTGTGCTGGGGCCTCCTCCAAAAATCCCTGCTGCAAAACCAAAGTCATTTGTTGACAATCCAGAAGAAATTAATCTTGAAGAGAGCAAACTCACAGTTGGTGCCCGCCAAATGCTTAAAGATTTACAACTTAATAAAAACTTAGGTAATTTCAAAATTGAAAAAATATTTTGTTTCTCAAGAGGATGCATAATTTGTTAAACTATTCACATGTTTTTAATCTATGGAAACTTTTATTTTTTTTACTGTCCAGATATGAATAAAGAATATGTCTTGAGAGGCTAATAAGAAATTATTTGACTTATTTAATATCTGTCTATATTTCTGAGATGAAGTATTGTAATTATTTACATTTTCTGGACTGTTGTCCTCATCTTTATTGCCATATTCACGATGTTTCAGATGCTGTATACTCCAACCTTCTTCAGGTGATTGGAATTTTGAAATCAATTCTTTATTTTGTCCACTTGGGTAGGTTGTTCTAGTTCCATGTGCCATGCCTCTTCCATATGTCTCAGTATCTCCCTTTAACTCGACGACTTAAATTTTTGTTCACTACTGCAGTAGCCAGGTATTGAACTTACAACTCCTTGGATCAAGTCACTGGATTCACTAGGCCATGTTTCCTTGAGGACATCAGTGTATGAATTTTGGGGACTTATAAACTTAATGTCTCAGTATACATTTTTTTTTACCAGAGCTCATATTACAATTTTTGTTTTTATTATTGCTCTTTTCTAGCACTCAGTATTACTGGTTCCCATATTGTATTCATTTCTATGCTTGGCCAGCTGAGGAGATTTTTGTGGCCTAGCATATGTGCTGATTCCTTAAGTTTACATATTTTCCATTGATGTTCTCTATTATTTCAACCTCATCTCATTCTGTTTTCATTGTTGGATCTTTCTATACTTTACTGTAGCTACCATTTCCAATGAGGTCTTCCAAAGTAAAGAGAGGAGGAAGATTGTCCAAAAAAAAAAAAAAAAAAAAACTGCATCCAAGAGGAGATCTAAAATCTTACACTCTGGCTAATCCTATTCTAAATACAGGGTGATTGAAAAGTAACCCTCTGTTTTATGTATGATGGACACTTCCATCTAACTATAAACAGGAGTCCATCATATATAAAATAGGGAGCTACTTTTCAATCACCCTGTAGTTGCTGACAGTGAAAAACATCAGTATTTCATCTCTTAAAAATCAATACATTTTTAATATTTTGAATATATACGCAATTGTAATTTTCTTTGCTCTGATTCTGCCAATAATCATCCTTAGTTTTAAGCATTAACAATCTAATTATAATCAGACAATGACTTTGTAAAGGTGTTAACATTTTAAATTGATTGCAGTTACTAAAATCAGTTTGGTTGGTCATTATTTGTTGAGTTATTTCTATTCAATTTGGTTTTCACTTTCAACATGTGAAAGTGTCAGATGTAAGCTGGTGTTTCACACAACTCGATTGTAATAACAAATGGTGTGGATATGTAGAACCAGATGAGATTAATAACTTGGGACAAAGGTTGTCCCATAAATTGGCTGATGTGTGATAGGAGTTGTTGCAAGTGTATCAGAAAGAATTTTACTTCATTCTGTAAAGTGAGAATGCTTTCTTTTCTTTGGTCTTGCCTTTATTTGGTTTGCCTTTTCCAGGCAACTTGAAATAAAGTGTCAATTCCATAAAAGAGAGAAGTGTTAGCTGATATTATTTCTTACAAATAACAAGTCAAGATTTTTATTTTATACAATGTGAATATGGTGTAATTAAAAGATAATACATGAACATTATTGTAAAATCTGTACTACTCGAGGTGTGGATCTCATAACAGCTTGCTTGCTAGTTTGATTTTGATAATGTCAGATAAGGAATTTATTATTGTTATTATTATATTATTTATTATTTCATACTAATTTATTTTAGCTAATATCCTCTTCTTGATTATGATGTTTACAATATAAACACTGCTTGGAAATTTGATTCAGTGTTGTACTAGAGAATTTTTCTTGCAAGAATCTATCTTGCACCTTTATAAAACTACCATTTGTCCATGCATCAAATATTGCTGGCTCATTTTGTCTGGTGCTTCTGCTTTGCATTGAGTGATTCTTGACAGAATCCAAAGAAGAATCTGCAGTGTCATCAGTCCTGACCTGGCATCTCAGCTTCAGTCACTTTCTCACCACCCTAACGTAGCTTCCCTGTGCCTTTTCTATAAATATTTTCATGGTAATTGTTTTGATGGGCTTTTCTTTTTGGTATCTCAACTTAAAGCGCAGTACTGGATTTGCAGCTAGGTCTCATCATTTTACTGTTGAAATGGCTAGATGCAACCATAAGTTCTATGCTAACAATTTCTTCTCTCACACTTCTTGCTTGTGGAACTCCCTCCCGGCTTTTTGCTTTCCTATCAACTATGATCTTCAAAAACTTAAATGCATGATCAATCATCTGTATCTTTAAATCCTTCTCTTTTATTGTGCTCTCCTCAACATTTTCTAAGTTTCTTTCACTCTCAGTAATCCCATGGCTTCATCACCTTGCTTGAGAGTGAAATGATTAAAAAACAAAAGAAAAAAAACCCAGCATGAAGATTTAAGTCTCTCTCTCTCATATATATATATATATATATATATATATAAGAGAGAGAGATATATATATATATATATATATATATATATATATATAAGGATTCGAAATTACAACTAATACTACCTGAAAAAGGCTGGAGCATACAATGGCTGAAATGTTGTGAATAGAGCAATAAAGTTGAGGACAAAAGTCCAAACAATGTCTAGTGTATATATATATAAAGGTGTTGTTATTTTTTTCCTAATCTATGAAATATTATCAGTCTTCTGACTGATATTATGCTTGATACAAGTTTAGCAGATGTTTGTTGAAATTTGGTTTATTCTTTCTGTTATTCTGCTGAAAATTAGAGAAAGGAAAATAGACTTGGTATAAACTTAAAAAAAAAATAAGTTCTAGAAGAAAATGTGGGGGGTTGATTTGAACTGTAATCTATTGGCATTACTGAATTTTTATCAATGGATGAGCCTTTTTATCTTGGTTTCATTTATGATGAACTCTCTAAGCAATCTTGTGAAACTCCAGTTTGCTCCTCTCCCCTCAAATCAATCAATTCAGATTTCTCCCTTTTCTCTAAAAATTACTTTAATCTTCAGTCTTTCTTTTCATTTACTTTGAAATATTTAGCAGATTTTGTATAGCTAAATCATGATTGTACTTTAGATTAAATGGTAAATTGTGTAATATATATAGTAAACTCTCTTGTCGATTTCTATGTGATGGCCTAACAGTTCAGTTCAGAACTGAATTGTTAGATTACCCATACAAATTCTAGTGTTGAAGGCTGGTGTAGAACCAGCCACGCTTTTCAAAAGAACTGGCAGCAGAGAAATGATGCATAGTATACTATAAAGTCTATAAAAAGGCCTCTTCTCATCTGAATTCAGAATATTTCCTTTTTTTCCCACCCAAGACAAGAGAGCCAAGTCAACACAACTATTTAACCTATAGATGGAAGAAGATGGGTTTTGCCTTTTCCAAAGGCATAATACAAAGAGAGCAAAGCAGAATTGATTTGAAATTGGGAATTTTGCTCAATGATTTCACTTTCTAGGCCAATAACTGTTTAATTGTCTGTACATCCTTTTATTTATTTTGTGAGTGTGTGTTATTTATTCTTAAGGTGAAAAAATATATATACATTGATTATATTTATTGACAATGTAACATAAGTTGCTTACATTCATTTGTAACTACTGTGTCAATAGATAACTAGACTCATGGCTAATCAATAGATTAGTCATGTAAATATAACAATAATAATGATCTTGTTGAACTGTTAGAACTTTTGGCTAAATATGTTGGCCTCTGGCAGGCTCTGAATTTGTAAGTCATTTTTCTGTGTTAACCTTATATAAGCCAATTTAATAACAAAAAATAATTGATTTTTTTTTTTTTGTATTATTTTTTATCTTCAAGAAAAATGCACACACAGTTTAAATCTATGTAGATGATTGAGATTTTTTGTTAACTAAACTGTATTATAATGTGCCTAATCTAAAGTTTTCTGTTATGTTTTGGTATATTACAGTTTATATAAAATGATTTGCAATTTACAGAGGCAAATAATGCCACAAGTTTAGTTGAAGAGATAGACAAGATCCCACCAGAACCCAAACTTGACTCTAAGCCGATGGTGAAACTGTTTCCTCATGCAGTAAAAAGAAAGCCAACAAAAGTAACAGGTAAGTTTTAATCCTCTTTTTTTTTTTTTTTTTTTCTTCAAAGTCATAATCAATATTTTAGTGTTTTGCTAGTTTTTAATCTTTATACCATGAGGTAATGAGAATTTTTCTTTTATGGCTAACCATATAGAACACTAACCATCAATTAAAGTTACACCACTACTAACCATGAGTATATCATACCTGATTTTGAAAATATAAAAAAAAATATTAAATATAAATCTTTATTTGAAATATTTTACATGCAGGCACTTCTAACTTTGTACTTTAATAGTAACTGAAAAACATATTATTTAGGTAAGAAAATCAGGTACTGAAAATTGTAAGTAAAAATAGGAAAATTTGCACTGGGTACTATATACCCATGGTTAGTGTTCTAGGATTAATTTGAATGGGAATTTCATAACATTTAACAATTGTATTCAGTTGAAAGTGAATCTAAAAAAAGGTCACTAAAGCATGCAATCAAGATTCAACTGGGGCCCAATTTGTCGCAGGAAGATAGGCTTAAACAATTTAGTCTTTTTAAAAAGAAATCTTTACTTTTTACCCTTGGATTAAAATAAGTTTATTATTTAAGACATTGAAGTAAGTATAAGGTTTATTTATTTTCTTTTCTTTGCACTTGCAGTATTTTTATTTTATTGAAAAAAAAAAAATGACAATTTTCTTTTCTTGCACTTCCCACCTGTGAAGGTCCCTTCTGTTTCTTTGCTTTCTTGATATCTTCTGCTTTTATGTGCTATGTTCCTACAGGACGTAGGCAATCATGGCTCTCCACTTCCACTTATCCCTTGTAGCTCTTTTGTCCCCCTGCTACTTCCACCAGGTTATGTTCTGTCATCCACCTACTCAAGCCTGTTTGGTATGTCATGCATTGCCTTTCCTTGTCTCTCTTTCCCTCTATTCAACCTTCTCCAAGCCCTCCTTTCTCATTATGTGTCCCAGAAACTTCTGTCTCTTTCTGATGTTAAGCATAAGCTTCCTCCTTGTTTGTATCCTCTCCAAAGTCTCATCATTGCTCACGTTCAGTCCATAATACTTCAAAAATTTAAATGTGATGTCAATCACCATCTTCTACCTTCTTGAATCCCGTTCAGCTTTTATCCTTTCCTCAGTTTCCCCTATACAGTCTTTTCTTTCACCTTCACTCTCTGTAACCTCCTGCATACTAGTGGAATTCCCACTTTGCTTGGGGTAAAATAATTAAAAAAAAAAAAAAAAAACTTGACAAAAAGTCATCAAGAATTGACAAATCAAAAATTTTTCTATATCATAGTTCTTTATAACAATGAGCATATTAATTATAAAATTTACAAAAATGTAACTCTTTGCACTGCTCAGTTATTACAAAATGTCATTTAAGAATATTACACAGAAAAGTTAATGTCCATAATTAAATTTAATTATCTGTTCTTTAACATATATCACAAAAACTTCAGATTTCTACAGTATAATTGAATTGTTTTAAACAGTGAAACTCACTAAAAAATATTAAGAATTTTGTCACATGAAGTTAATATTTTCCTCTATAACAAAGAACATGTTGATTATAAATTTTATTTTTTATGAAAGATTTGTCCTTTCCACTATGAAATTAATGAAAAATAACTTTTGAAAAGAATTTTGTCACATAAGGTTAATGTCATAATTAAATTCAGTAAATTTTGGCTAATATTTTACAACCATTCTTAAAAAATATACTACAATAAAACTTAAAGATTTCTAATGCTGGAGTTATTCTCTATGTACTATGAACAGAATTTTTTTTTTCATATTACTATAGATTAAGCACTTTAAATCACAAATATATAGTTTTAAGGTATAGATATATTTATGGCTTAAAATGCTCAATATCAGGGATAGTGCATATGTTAATATAAAAATAGACATACTTGTTTTCATATCAACTATGAACTTGAAAAAATTTAAATGCAATATCAATCATCATCCTCTGTCTCCTTGAATTCTGTTCTTTTTAATATCCTCTGCTTCTTTCACTCTCAAATAACCCCTAGTGGTTTTTATTGCCTTGCTTGGAGTGAAATGATTAAATATATATATATCTGGGATATGCAATCCTTATTTTATACAGGTTTCACTGAATGTGATGGACAAAAAAAATTTATCATTTTTTTTATTTATTTATTCAGTTTTTCTAGTGTTCTGACAGTTTTTCCTTTATGAGAATTAAGAATGTGTAGAAACTGTCAATAGTGATTATTATCCCAAGTACATTTATCTAATTCATTAGCCCCTTTTCAAGGAGGTCATTGTTTGTATATTTTTGTGTTTGTATTCTAAACTATGGTGTATAGAAGTTGTAATGATTCCATGTCGGGATGCCTTTAGAACATGTTTAATATGCTGCAATTAGTATTATGTAGAGATCTATACTATTTTATAAAAAGTGCTTCCATTTTCTTTAAACGTCTTTTACAATTACATGTTTTTAAAATGACTACTTATCAAACTAAGATCACTCGAGTGGATACTGAGGTGCCTAGTTAAAGACTTTGTTGTATGGTTAATATATTTGATGTTTTTTCTTTATTATAAGAGTCACAACTTTGTCCTAGGTAATAGAATTTATAGATTATAATTGTGATCTGTAGTTTGGATTTCATAGGCATGTTGTTATTGGTAATTATGAGTTTGGCAGTTTTTAATTTTCTATAGTATATAGTAACTTTTACATATTTGCTAAGGTCTGCTGGTGAAATGTAAGTTTTATGATGTATTGCATTGCAGATTTTTTTTTTAATCATTTCACCCCAAGCAAGTCAATAAAGCCACTAAGATGCAAAGGGTTAATGAGTGTGAGAACATGAGAAAAAGAAAACATTTTTAAGAAGAGAAAACAACAAAAGAACAGGACAGAAGATAATGATTAACATTGCATTTAAATTTTTGAAGATCAAAGTTGATTGGAAAGCATGAAATCAGCAGAGTTCCACAAGTGAGAAGTGTGAAAGAAGAAACTGTTAGCATAGCCAAGATGCCAGGTCAGGATCAATAGCATTACAGATTCTTCTTTGGGGTTTATCAAGAATCTCTAAATATGTAATCAATGCATCAGACCAGGTGTGACAGTAATATTCAATGCATGGATGATCCATAGGCTTATGTTTTTTAAAAGATTCATCTTGTTTATAAGTTTTATACATTTGGTTGTTGTAAAGGACATTTATGCATTATGTTGTATTTTTAGTATTGGTACCATTTAATTTCCCTAGGGATAACTTTTGGTTATTGATAATGAAGTTGGGGGAATTATTGTTAACTAATCTCTGCTTTATATGCTTAAGTTTGTTGGAAAAAAAAGTCCCCCCACACCTCCTAAAAGAAAATACTGTAAGGACACTAGAAAAATTGAATAAGAACTTAAAATTTTCCTTGCCCACCACATTCGATGAAACCTATCTGCATCAGTTTTACATAACTTTATTCTGACAGAAATAAAACTTAATCTCACTAACATATTATGGAATTGTCTTGCAGTTATTGTAACCAGTCACAATTCAGTTCTTCTTGACCTCTTGCCTGGCATAGATGTTTATTTCAACATGTTTTTTTTTTTAATCCTGAAATAATTTATATTTTAGAACCTGATAAGCAAGCCAAGGTGCGTCATTATAATTCAGAAGAAGTCAGGAAGTTTATAGCCAAGAAAAAAGATGAGCGTTTACGAAAAGCTAAAGAAGACAAAATGGCAATGGTAAACCAATGTATGAAACGTCAAGAAATGTTGCAGGAAGTTTATCGTAAGCAGAGAGAAGCAACAGCAGCTCAGAGGAGAGATGGCAGCAGTTCCAGGTGTAAATCCGTCAATGATTGTACAAAATCTGACTTCAAAGATCGAGTAAGAATTTTGTGTTGTAAAAGATGGAAATTTTTTTTTTTCCTTGTGAAAATCGGTTGAGTTTCATATTTCTTGAAGTGGAAACACACTTCTCATATTTATTTTATATGCCTTGTCCATAATATTAATACGACTGTTTTCAAATCCTATTCAACTTTCTGATTACTGGAAATAGGGTCATGTTCTCCAGTGAAGATGACATGTATCTGTCACTGATAATGTGCATGAAGGGCTAAAAGGAAAGTTTGATCTAACCCACTTCCCAAAATGACCAAACCTCAGATTTTTTGTGTCTTTTTTGATTGGTCTGAGAACTTTTTAGTGCTTGCCTCATACATTGTATATTCTAGGATTTTTAAATTTAATAAGTAGGCTTTAAGATAGACCTTACCAAAACAGAAACTATAATCTGGAATTGGAATGAAAGCCACAATGACACATACACTGAATCCACCATAAAAATTCACAATGTGGACTGAACACTTCAAATAGTTTGGTGTATGGATCAGTTATAACAAATTTAGTATAGGAGATAAGGATATTGAACATAGAATAGGATATCTAGGGATATCTTGTCATGTTCTATTTTTATTACTGCTCACTTATACGAGGTCTGATCAAACAGTATCAGATATGTTGCTATGGTAATGGCACTAAAGTATGCTGAGTTAAGCTTCTTAGCACAGACTGACATTGAATTCTGTTGTGCATACTCACTAAGTTATAACATTCTCACTCACTTCCATTGTTTATAGCAGTGCTATAAAGATTTTATATTTACAGTAAAGGTCCACAAAGTCAAAGAGGGACACAGAAAAGAAGTAACATAACTGTATTAATTGATGGGTTTAATGTACAGAAAAGAGTGTAGCACAATAGGTAAAAAGAAGGCTTGCAAATATAATTTATATTTGCAGACTTAACTGTTATGAGAGTGCCCAAACAACAAATGGGTTTTGCGGCTTCTGGAATCTGTTAACGTCAGAAGGGACAACTCCAAATAACCTGTTGTGACTACAGCTGTCAGTTGCAAAAGAGAAAGATTTCAGAATCGAGTTTACTGCGTGGCCCCTAAAAGGGCTCCTGGTTGGACAGCAGTTAGTTAATCAGTCCCAGATTAGTAGGGGTTTCAAGTTCAAGATTGATCTTTGAATAGTAAAGAGTTAGCTCCTTTTACTATACCTTTCAAATTCTTATAATGCTTGGCAGGAAAGTGTTTAGAGAGTGGTTGCCTCACCACACCACAGAGGTTTAATAAGTGTCCATGGCTTGTGAAACAGTTTTTGGCAAAGAACAACATTCCCCTTGCAACTTTTTTTTCTCTTCAAAAATCAAATTCCATTTGAAAGGAATAAGATTTAAGATGTCAAGGAAATCCAAGAGAATGCAATGAGGCAGCTGCTCACTTTCCCAAAAAAGGAGTTCTAGGAATGCTTCCATCAATGAAAACTACACTGGATAAAGTGTGTGACTTCAGAAGGGGACTACTTCAAGGAGATTAAATATCAAATTAATGTGTTGTAGTTTTCTTTTTATAGCACCAGTCCTGACACTTTTTGATCAGACTAGTCCTGTTTCACCATTGGGTTCAATTCAAGAATCTCTGAAGCTTCCCCAGTTTGACAGACGCCTGAAGAAGGCCAGAGGACACAATTCCCAAAATATTGTGATAGTAACAACAATGATGACGACATTAGTCTGACCCCTGATAATGTAAATCAAGATAACTCTTCATCTCGGAAATTTAGAAATATAAAATTGAATTTAATTGTCCATCCTTTAGCACATGCCATGGATTTTAGACCATAGACAACGGCTGCCTACACACAAATTATATTGAAACCAATGACAAAAACAACAATTGATTTCTAAAAGAAGCACCACTCAGTCTGCATAAAAATAATTAAAAAAATGTGAAGTTAAATGAAATAGAATCCATTACTGTTTACACTTAATATTAAAATTTCATGGCTTATGTCTAAACAGTTGGGAAACTAAATTATATCAAAATTTTCAGTGTAACTCATAGAATAGTAATGGTGAAATTAGCCATTTCCTTATAACATTTGGCATTCATTGACCAAATACCATTACTGTCAGTTGAAATTTATAATCTTTTTTCTTAAACCGTTTTACAGAAAAATAGACTTATCCTATCCACTGTTTAGCACTGGTGGAAGTTTCCTTTCAAGTCTTTTGTTTCAAGTTGTGTGAAAAGTTAACATTTTCATTCTCATTTTTTTTCTCTTTAAGTCTATTTTAGTTGGTGATACTGTTGAAAGTCTTCAAGTTGTTTGGTTTCTGTTATTTAGTACAGTTCTTTCTTTATGATTCTCTAGTGTTTGAAGAACTATGGTCCTCGCTAATACCTACAGGCTTAATTCACTTGAAACCACTTTCAACTAATGATCTTAGAAAGTGCTTGTAGGTAGTTTAGACATTTCTGAATGACTTTGGTGCCATGCATGACATTCTTATGAAAGTCTTGATCTGATGAAGCTATTTAAGAACATGACTTGAGTTCTTAATTTAATATTTTAGTTTTGTAGCCTTTTGTGGTGTTTGACAAAACTACCCCTAGATTGAGTAAAGTGTTCAGTTTGAAATTCTTTGAAGGCTAATCTGTTTGACAGATACCAAGGGAACACAATAGCTGAACCATTGTGATAGTAACAACAAAGATGAAGATATTAGTCTAACTGCAAATAATGTAAATATTTTTTTTTTGTTAACTCTTAATTGTTACTCTAGATTTGTTCCTACTTTAACTGAAAATATAACTTTAATTGGCTTAATATTTGGGTTTGTACTCATAACATTTTAATGCTAATCATGGCGATTATTCCCAACTGATTAATGTAAATTGACCTTTCTATATTCTGAATTTTGATGTCGGTAGATTTTGTAGTTATAGATTATCAATTACTAATTTGCAGCCTGCATTTGATGTGGATCTTTCTGGTGGTGGAAGTAGTGATTTGCATCTCAGCTTTAGTGATGCCAGTTCAACATTGACTACAAATTCTCATGATAGTTCCACACATCAGATAACATCTCATGCTGAAAGGTAAGCTTAATTAATTTCAGTTTTAACTTGCAGATGATGTATATCTGGTGATATTTATTAAAAACTAGTGATGAAACTCAATATTGTGCAAACCATGTCCCTTTCCTTTGTGCCACTATAATATGCAGTAATTGCCTTGTTTCAGAGATTTGCATATGGTGTAAAATAGTATTAATGAAAGGGTACTTAATATAGTTCAGTAGATTTAAAGATTTTGGTAACCATTTATTTTATAAATGTCATGTCATCATATAATTTATAATATTTGTTAGATTTTTAAAATATACTATTAAAAATGCTAGCATTATGAATCCAAGCTGTCATCTACATGTTGAGGTAGTTACCACTTTCAGTCTGGGAAATAGCTTTATTTGAATAAACAAGCAATTTATATGGAAGTGCTGAAAAATTCTTAGCCTGATCTGTTGCTCAAAATTTAACCAAATAACTAAGCAGTAAAGTGTTTTTTTTTTTTTTGTTTTTTTTTAATAGTTGAGCCAAGAATTTTTCAGCACTCCCTCATAGTTATAGTGATTTACTAGACATAGCTTAGACGTGGCACAAGGCCAAAAGTAGGAAGAACCCAGTGAGGATCAAACTGTCTTAATCGATCTAGCATGACAAGCTTGCTAACCATTACAACATGTCGAAGTACCCTCTTATAAAAGCCATCAGTAAAACAATTGCTTATTTATAAACATCAAAAATACTCAGATTGGAAATGACTAACAAAACAGTTATTTTTAAAAATTTGATTTTTGGAAGATGAATATGCAAATTAGTTATCTCAATTAAGCCAGAACTCTTAAGTTGGGTAAGGTGTAACATATGTAGGTTGATACAAATGGGCAAATTGAGCAAGGTATGACATATGCAGGTAGTTACAAATGATAAGATTGCATTTATTTCATGTCATTTTTATGTAGCATTTGCCCAATCAGCTTTATATATGTAATTAATTTCCAGGGTTTTGAGAGAGATACATGCACACATTTGAGCTTTATACATCATTTAGGCACTTTCTTGAATTATATATGCTGCATAATTTCAGTGTGCATTACTACAGAATGAACTTATCAAATGGATTTAGTATGTTTATTGAAAAGAATAAGAATGTAAAAACATTCCCCCACTAAACAAGTACTTAATTGATATTTTTTTCCTAAGATAATAATTTCATTTATAAAATTTGACCACCTTTTTTATTCGGTTCAAGGGAGATAAATCTGGTATATTTTATTTTAATACCTTAGGTCAAGGAAGTATTAAATTTTGAGATTTTATCAAATTTTTTCTTTTCTATTTTACTTTACTTGATTTTATTTAATTTTATTCAGCATTTAAAGCCATTTTTTTTTTTTAAATCTTTAGTTCTCCAGCAGTGCTGCCAATGAAAAGTTCTTCATTTAATGGAAGTGTTCCTGTTACTCGCACATATCCACGTCCTATGAGCCAGATTCTTGAGCAGAATTTCTCTTCCTGGAAAACCAATCATCCAACTGTTGCTGTTTCTTCTATAGATCTTTTATCCTCTGTTCCAAAGTCTGATCCTGGTAAGACACATAATTTTGCAGATTTTGTTGAAATTTCAAATAAGTCTGCTTTGGGGAATATTAAAGTTTGCTAAAATGACTCAAATTGTGTTAGAATATTCATTTTTCTTTTTTATATCTTTTTGAACATTTCAACTCATTTTTTCTGAGATTTTTGTTTCCACAAAGTTTCATATGATCCATTCTACAGCCTTTTTCAAATGTATTATCTGTATGAAAAGAAATGGTTGATCTCTCTTTTCTTTTTTTTCCAATTTTATTTCTTCCCATTTTTCCTTCTCTTTTTCTCTTTTTGTACTAAAAAGCAAAGAATTATATCAACAGAAAATTTTAACACAACCAACAACTTTTGCACTAATATAAGAGACCCCCCCCCAAAAAAAATAAAAAAGAAACTCCTCATCATACAGAGAGTAAACCTGGAGAAGGTCACAGAATGGATCAGCTGAAATGTTGTGAGAACAGACCCCCCACCACCACCAAAATAAATGTTCAGTTATACCAAAATCTCCTTGAATGATAATGACCCGCCTCCTCAAAATTGTAGCTTATGAGGCCGTAAAAAGAAAAAATAAATAAAATTTTAGGTTCTACAATGTCTTAATGCACATATATAAAGATTGAGTTTTATGGTCAAAATTCTCTTTTATAATGCTTACTTAAAGAAAGTTTAAAATCTTCACATAATATATTACAATTTTTACGTACATATATAAATTTGCATAGATATTACAGATATGCACATTGTTTTTCATTGATTTAAGATTTTTTTTTCTCTATTATCTTGCTCCCTTTAAAACTTTATCTTCTTTCCATGTGTTCTTTTCTCATGTATTTGCATTTATTATTCTTCTTTTTGCCTCTTCTGGATTATGAGTCTAATTTCTTTTTATTTGTCTTTATTCTTACAGCTTCATATTTGGGACAAATTGAATTGAGTAATAGGCGTCGCATCATGGATATACATTCCTCAGCTGCTACACTTACAAATAAACTTAGGGAAATATACAGACAAACTTCTGTTTCCGGTAATTTTACAACAAAATTTATTCTATGTAGTTTTTTTAATTTTTTTTTATCCTTATCTTTTGTTAATTTATTTTTTTTTTTTATTCTAAAAGAAAAATGGAAGCTCAGTAGTATTTTTTTCTGTTTATTTCTAGATTGCACGAAAGGATGCTCCAATGTTTTTGATAAATGTTTATTAAATGTAGTTTCTTCATAACTTTCTTAGAAGTGGAATTCATGATGATTATTTACTATACAAGGAACTACTGAAAAGATTTGATCTTGTCCCATTTCTCAAAATCTGACCAAATAGGCAAACATAAAATTTATTTTTGGAATCTTGTCTTAATTGGACCAAGAACATTTCAGCATTGTGACTGCAATTTACAACAAAATTACAGTTTATGTTTCATATTAATTTTATAATTTTTAATAAATTGATCTCTTTTTGAAATTACTTTTTAAGTGTATCATTAAAAGACAATAATTAACATCCCCTGTTTCAAGATTAGTTTTGCATTTGTGCAAAGAAATTTCTCTTTTGTCATTGTTTCTGTTATATTAGTAGTATAATCTATAAATTTTACTTTCACAAATTGATCAAAGTGTATTTTAAGGCCCAATTTTATTTTTATTAAATTAAAAAGTGATAATAGTAAGAAATATAAGCCAGTTGATGTTTTAGCCTTTATATGCCTTAGTGTATTGGGGCAGCAGATCATTATTCAAACATATATTGTTAAATATAACGGGCAATGAGTATCAATTATGTTTGATCATGAGCTGTTCTAAGCTTTGTATAGTTGCTTTAATTTTGGGAAAAAATAAAGACAAACACTGTCCAACATCTGGATATTTTTTGTGCTGTTTCTCAATCTAAGCACTCTGATAATGGCTCATGTGAGCTGAAAGCTTAGATTGAGGAACAGCATATGTTGAACAGTTTTTGTCTTTATTTTCTTCTGAAAATACAATGCTTAAAACAGCTCATGATCAAACATAATAAACATTCGTTTTCTGTTATATTTAACAATATATGTTTGAATATATTTTTAATCAGTATCATCTCAAGCAAGGCAGTACAGCCACTAAGATGCAAAGGGTTACAGTGTGTGGAGGAATTAGGAACAAAAACATTATTCTTTTCTCTTTCTATTTATTACTAATCAGGAGGACAGTTGATAGCAATTGATATTGCATTTAAATTTTTGGAGATTAACATTGGCTGGAAGCCATGGAGTCAGAAGGGAGTTCCACAAGTGAGAAGTGTGAGAAAATAAACTGTTAGCATAGGACTTACAGCTACATCTAGCTGGCTCAACTGTTAATTGATGAGATCTTGCCACCAGTTCAGTACTGTGCTTAAATACATACAGTTTAGGTACCATAGTTAAGAGCTCATCTGAACAATTACCATGAAAGTATGTATAAAAAATGAACAGAGGCAACCTTATGGCAGTGGGCAAATGACCGAAGCCGATCCACAAGAGCAGGACCAATAATATTGCTGATTCTTCTTTGGATCTTATCAAGTAGCTCCAGGTAAACAGCAGGGGCACTGGACCATATATGGCAGCAATATTCTAAGCATGGACAAATGGTAGACTTGTAGATAGATTCTGGAGAGAAAAATTGTCTTGCACAACATGGTAAACCAACTTTTTTAGTAGTTGACCTAGCAATGGATTCAATATAGTCTTTCCATTTCATGTCAGTTGAGAATATTACTCAGAGTAGGTGAAATAAGTCACTTTCTTGGAGTTTAGTATCAGCCATTCTGATGGAAGGCAGAGAGGGGTCTCACAGATGATTAATGGTGAGAAGTTTAGTTTTGGAGGCATTAAAATTGACAAGCCATATTTTGCCCCAGTTAACAGTGGTCTTAAGGTTATTTTGTAGATCAGCTGCCATTTTGACTTTGTCTGATTGATCAGCCTTACTATTAAGGCAGGAGTAAATGGTAGTGTCATCAGCATAGATGCCAAGTTGAGAACTGATGTCATCAGGGAAGATTGTTAATGAAGATTAAAAACAACATAGGACCAAGGATGGAACCCAGGGGGACATCTGCGTTAATATGAAAGGTTCTAGACAAGTAGCCATTCAAGATAACTTTCATTTTATGATTTGGCTGTAACGATGTGCCTGAAGATACCATAATTTTTTTAACTTGTTGAGAAAACCTGAATGCCAGACCCTGTCAAAGACTTTTGAGATGTCTAATGCTATAATACAGGCTTCACTGTTTTTATCTAGAACATGATAGACTCTTTCTGCAATTATCGTCAGTATATCAATAGTTGACCTGGAGAAACGAAAAACCATATTTCTTGTCTTAAAAAAGGCCCTGTGATGAGAGATGATAGACCAGTTCAGCATTGATTAGTGTCTCTCAGAGTTTCCCAAAAAATGAGGTAGAAGGCTAATAGGCTGATAGTTGGATGGGTCAGATGGTTCACCAGAATTCTTAAAAATAGATGATGACTTCCAGCAGGCAGGAAATCGGAAGGCAGCAAGGCATTTATTACACAGTTTAGAGAGAACAGGAACCAATTTGGAAGCACAAGTACTATTACAGGGATACCATCGGGTTCACATGCTTTGTGTGGATCAAGGTTAGATATGATAGCAGTAACCATGGAAGTGGTTATATGCATATCACTCAACAGAGATTCAGTTCTAAGTGAGGAAATTAGGTAGGGATACTCCAGATGAGTCAAGAGTAGTTTGATAAGAATTTACGGGCAAAGCATTCAACTGATAATATCAAAAATTGATTGAAGAGGGTGGAATAGAAACTTTGTGCTTATTTAGTACCCTATTAAGAGCTGCAAGTAATCACAAGAGTCAAAGTTGTTAGAGGCTATGCAGTACCTCATTCTCTTGGCAAACAGGGACTTAGCTCCCTCAAGGACTCACTTGCATTTATTATGAACAGTAACAAATAGGCACTTGTTACAACAAGAGCTGTCATGCTGGAATAACCAAAAATAGTGTTTTTTTTTGTGTGCTATGGCAGCCAAGCATGCTGGTGTGGACCATGGAGAGGATTGCAGTTTCACCTGGAATTTCTGAGAAAGGATGAAAGCGTCCATTATGGTTTTGACCCAACCAGAAACCTAAGTGGTGCAATTTTCAATTGGGATGTTTCAGATATCAGTCCAAGGGTCATTACAAAGAAAATCCCAAAATGAGTCTCAATCAGCATACTGTTAATGGAAAGAGGTCTTATGGACACAGGCTTCCTGTTTAATGGATACTTGGAAGTAAATATCAATAGCTACCACAGAGTGGTCCGAGTTACCAAGTGGGCAGTATTGCAAAGCTCAGCAAGAGCAAGAAGAGGAAATAAGAAATAGATCCAATAGAAAAGCCTGTTGTTCAGTTTGGCTAGGGCAGTGGAAAAATTTAATATCTGCATACTGGCAACATAGAATGTTTCAGCCACATGTCATGTTTAGTATTAAAGTCACTGAAGATGTTCACAGATGGATGGAGAGAAAGTGCCTTTTCTATACTGTCAGCTATTGCATCTAATATATTGCAGTCCTGGGAAGAGGAGGAGCAATAAAGAAAAAGATAGCTGACAGCTTAGTTGTGAAAGACAGAAGCACATAAAATAATAGTTGGTGGCCTCAAGAGACAATTCCCTGGTCGTCGGAAGATTTTCTCGGATGTAAACACCAAGGCTATGGATGTGAATGCCGGAATCTTTTCAGCAAAGAAGATAGCCTAGAACCAAGAATTCAAGTTGGTTTCACAAAGGGCAAAGATATCTGGAGACTGTTCCAGGAGAAAAAATTTTACACTGAAGAAGTTGGAACAGATACCACTAATATTGGGGAAAGATTGACGGGGGTGGTGGTAAGTGGTTTCTTGTTAGCTGGTTTAGTTGAATTTCTCTTTGTTGTGATTTCCATGAGATATGTTTTGAAGAGAGAGAAAAAAAACCCACCATAATTGTCACTATCTGTTGTCAATGGCAATACAAGCCAGCCAGTGTGTGGCTGAGAGCAGGGCGTAATGTGGCCTCAGGGTTGCCCACCAGAAATACATGCAGGGACACCTACCCATGCATGACATGGCACTACAGATACCTTGAAATTATGTGATTGTTGATTGGAGCAGCCTCCCCAAGTGCTACCAAAGCATTTGGGCTCCTATAGACCAGTCGGAAACAGCAGCTAGCAAACTGCTAACCTGGTACCCTCACAATGAAAAGTCACAGCCACTGGCTAGTTCAATCACCTAAAAGTAAAGACAGTTAAATCATTGTAGTCCTGGTAGAAGAAAGACAGAACTGGTAAGTCATATCCTGATCAGGGAACAAGGGATAAACCTCTACTCCTGTTCAAGAGACATGGAAGGAGTGTGGGCCGGACGATAGGTGAGCCTATCTACACTTATTAATTTGTAAAACAAAAAAACAAAATACGAGGGAGTTCATATTAAGTTCTGATGTCTACTACCAACTAGAACAAAAAGGGATGGTAAAACTTTCTTCACTCTTATGTCAATTTTTCAGCATTGATAAGCAACAGTAGGTGAGCACATTCTAAGTTGACCAAGTTGTGGGGGAGGAGTTGAAGTAAGAAGTTTGATAATTAATAGCAATGGGGACAACAAAATACCCATGACACAATGAATGATAAAAACACCACAGACTAAAGCAAAAAACAACAAAATGATGAAAAATTAAAAAAGAATAAAATAAAACTCAAAGAATGACACAGACATTTTAAACATCTGCAACAACAACAACATGACACAAGGCTAATGTGACCTTACATGCAAAGGACTCTACAAATGCTTCATTCAAATCTTTAAGTCAGATTGAGCATTTTAACCCATAAATATAGCATACCTTAAAACTATATTTTAGCATATATATATGCTCAATTGCCTTGTGCCATGTTGTTGCAGATGTTTAAATGTCTTAAATGTCATTCTTTGAATTTTTTTGTTGCTTTAGTCTGGTGTTTTTACCTATCCTTCATTGTGTCATGTGTTCTCCCCATTGCTATTAATTATCAAACTTCTTCCTTCACTCCTCACACTACTGACCAGAACTTTTTAAGCTGGATTTTAATATGCATCATTAAACTATGTGTTTTTATATATATATATATATATATATATATATATATATATAATTTCATCTTTTTTCTGCAGATTCCATGCCACAAACTGAAGAATGTTATTCTCCTTCAGTTGATATTTTGTCTGGAACTGGCCCTACTTATGTTGGTACTCCATTGGATAATGATCTGCCAGGTAAAAAACATACAGAATGTCTTTTTTTTTTTTGTTTGTTTTTTTCTTTTGCTTCCTGTTTCTTGGTTTGCTAACCCTGGATTCATCTAATTTCTTGCTTTTCTCTCACATTTTCAAAGAGTCATGCTTTTCTGATGTTGTTGCTGTGTGTTTATTAACAATCTAAATTAAACAATAAGAATAAAATATAAAAAATGAATAGGAATAGACTAATAAATAAAAAAAAAAAAATGAATAGTTTTTTTTTCTTTTAAAAATATACCAGAAACTCTGCTGATAATTAAAACTCTTAGCAAATATACATTTTGTCTGTAATGTTGAGACATACCTAGTCTTGTTTAGAAAATTGAATTTTTTTTCTAAATATACTTGCTGTTGTCAGTATAAAATTTTGGTTGATGCATTTGGTAAGTCTATAAGGAATATGAACAATATTGGATATACTTTCTCTTATTTCAAAATATATTCTCATTGCTGCATTATTAGAAAGAATGTTACTAACATGATTAACTGGATGCTGAAACTGAATTCTTTAAATGACATATTTCTCTAGGATTTCTGATGATAGATACAAACATAGAGTAGTCAAAAGAAATATTGAACAATCAAATTATGGTAATAAATTTGAGGGATTCTACTGGAATGTTTGTAACAAAAGTTAATATTAAATCCTTCATTTGACGAATTTGATTTTTATTTAGGTGTTCAGAGCTTGAGATTAAAAGCACAGGAAATTTATGAGAAAAAGGAACAGGATGCAGCCACAAGAATACAGGCAGTTTACAGAGGTTATACTGTTCGAAAGAATCTTAAGTGGCAATATTTAACTGGACTGCCTGACATAGAAGATCAGGTGAGTATGAGGATTTAAACATGCTATGAGCTAAAGCAATGGATAACAAATACATCTAAAGGACTGTAGCATTAGATATTTTAAAGGCCTTTGACAAGGTGTGGCACAAAGGATTACTGCTTAAGCTCTCTAGCTATAGAATCACTGGAACTGTCTTCTCAGTAATAAAGTCCTTCCTAACAGGTAGGTCTCTGAAAGTAGTTGTTAATGGCTGTCCTCTGGGGTCCTAGCAATCACTGGAGGTGTCTCCCAGGGGTCACTTGTTGGACTAACCCTCTTTTTATTTTACATACTAAAAATACCTAAGAGTATACTCTGATCATTTGTGAATATCTATGCTGATGATATAATTGTATATTGGTGCACCATCAAAACTCTAGATGACCAGAGATTGGCCACTGATCTCTCCTCTGACATCTCAGAGGGGGAAAACCTAGTTGATTACATTCAATGCCTTGAAAACCAAACTAGTTACATTCCATCATCAGCGATTGGATCCTGAACTATCACCAGTCACAAATGGATGTTCCCTCAGGAAAGCCCTGTGCCTTGAGCGACTCTTGGGCCTTAAGCTCAACCCAGACTTCAAGTGGAACTCATACGTACAATCCATCACTAAAGATGCAGGAAAAATGGTCGGTACCCTGTATCGCACAAGTAAGTACTTGATTCCTCATGTTATCCTCTACCTTTGCAAGAGCCAGATCAGGCCTAAAATGGAGTACTGATATCATATTTGGGCAGGAGCTGCCTAGTCCTCATTTTCCAGTCTCTATAGATTCCAAAAGTGTCCTTGTGGTCGACAAATTATTTTCCACCCAACTGTGATGTCACCCTGGGTCTCTGTCTTGTCCTATCCTGCCCTGTGCTGGTCGCGGTGCCAAATGTGACGCCACCCTGGGTCTGCTTTGGCCTGTGCTGGCCGCGGCGACAATTGTGACGCCACCGGTCAGTCCTGGTCATCGCCGCCAATTGTGACGCCTCTAACCCTGGGTTGACTGCTGCACCATCTGTGACGATCTAACCTTTGGCTGGTTCGGATGGAAATCTGGTTTACCATGGAACCATGTGTGACACCAACCCCTCTGGCTGTCCTGGTCGCGGTCGATGTCTGGTTAGATTTGATATCAGCCTTGCAGTTCCCAGCTTGCCTCCAATGTCTGGTTACCGAAGTAACTGCTTTGATTTCTAGTCTAACCTACCAATGTTGTGATTTGATCTTAGGCAGATGAAATCAATCAGGCGTCGGGCTGTAGTGCAAGCTGAATCCGGGGCAAAGGTGATACTGCACAAGTGTATGTAAAAGAAAAATAATGAAACAAACTCAAAAATTCAAATGTGTTGAAAAAAAATAACAAGTATCTTTATATCTGTTTGCTGAATACAGGACTGCGTCTTTCTCCCAACCCGCTTCTTTTATGGATTCGTGACACTTTGCGTTTCCCAGGCGAGTCTTGATACCTTAAGTTGTTTTTCAATAACCTGTTTTATGGTATCTTCAGGCGATATTCGTTAAAACTTGTTTTGGTGGTGTGAGTCTAAGTCGTTCTTCAAAAAAAAATTGCTTTCGGTTTGAAGTCTAAGTCGGAATGCAGGGAAATCTTTCAGTCAGCTCTTGTGAGGCTGGTCACTGAGCTCACAGCTCTCTGTTGATCTGCGTGTGTCTTTGATCTCCAACTGTGACTGCACTGCCACTGTACTGTAACTCAACTCCAACTGTCTGAAATTCTGGGGACGTTCGTTTATATGGACGCTGACCAAAACCGGGTGGGGGCCTGTCGTGGTTTGGGTTCCTCGATAATTCCAAATCTGCAATAAGGATTTTCTTTGTCTTCGGACAGGAAAATTTATCACTTCCCATTTTTGGAAGTCAATTACTTTCTGTTTTAGAGGGGTTCTCCCCCTCTCTGGGGTTGGAGGTTGTAGGGGAATTGTCCTCCTAAACTCTTCCTTTCTCATATTGGTATCTCGCACCAATCTCCGTCAACAGGTTTCCCTTCTTTCTCATATGTTTACCTTCACCCATCACTCATGCCACCACTCAGCCAATGAATGCTCAGCAGTGTGGGTGTGGCTAGCCTGGCCTCAATTTTTTTTTCTTTGGGCGATAATTGTAAACTATCTTCCCTTTTCTTTCTTTCTTTTCCATCGGCCAGAATTCTTATGAATCGTACTGTGGACATTAAATTTTTATCTTAACTTGGGTCATCTGGAATTCATTAATGGAATTTTCCTGACTCATTAACTATCGCTGGTCAACTATTGGGTTGGTGCAAAAATAATGTCGTTTTTTGACGTTAAGTTGAACGTCAAAAAATGACATTATTTTTGCACCAACCTAATATTTAACTGGGTGGTTGACTAAATCTCTTTCTCTCGTCTGTCTCAATATCATCGCATTCTGTCGGCAACAGCTTGTCCAGGTAACAATAATGGCTTTCTTGGTCAGTCAGTCTTTTTTTTTTTTTTTTTTTTTTTTTTAAGATAACCAAATTGAAATTTTTATTATTGCCATACATGTGGCAGATTGTTATTCTTTATCCGTATTCTGTTCCTCTTGGCACTTAACTTTTATCATGAAAAGATCCAGACATACAACAGATGGGTCTCTTTCTGGACATAGGAATCAAAACCAAATGATATCTCCGAAAGATAATTACTGGCTATTCTTTTTTTTTTTTTTTTTTTTCAGGGTGGTCTCACCTAATTCTTTCTCGGTCGCATGCTTGACCCAGTTTCGATTATCTCCTAGCATTCTGCTTTGTAAGCCGCTGACCGAATTCAAATTTTTATTATCCTTTATCCATATTCTGTTTCCCTTGTCATGACATTAATTAATTCTGACAGGATCCAATACCTGTTTTTATGAATTTTCTATCTTCTGCGAAAAAAATACCTTTCTTCGTAAATGAAAATAAAATCTTTACCCATTTTTCTTTTGTTAAAAAAATAATATCGCTCAGTATGTCTTTTGTTATAGCTCCTTTTTGCCTTAAGTATTTCTTGTTTTTTTTTTCAATTTCCATGCTTAATTAGTTAGCCAATTACCATAGCTAAATAGTCACGCAACAACCCCTCTCTCACAGACAAAATCTCAAATTTTTCACTGCTCTATTGCTATTTTCATTGAAAGTGATCAGACGAAATACATTCCTTAGTTCTACCGGTTCTAATCTTCACATCTAAGAGTCACCATGCTATGATCATTGTAGTGAACCACCCTCATTCACTCCATATTCCATTGGTGAGAAGTGAGTTCTACACAAGTCTCAAGCAGCTTCTTCCCACAAAAATAGTGAACCCCACTAAAAAAAAAAAATAATACCATATTTTATTTATGTTATTATAAAGACCGAGTATTTTTAATTTTATTTTATATGATGACTCATTAGTGCAATTTTTAAGAATTAAAATAATTCTTTTTTATTTTGAAGAGCATGAAGGCAGTTTATTTAATTCTTTTTATTAATAGACTGACTTTTCTAAGTTAGTTTATAACATTATAAACATCTTATTAATGTTTGCATGTGGTTTAATTTTAATCAAATTTTGCATAAATAGTTCATTGCTTAAGGTAATTTTGAAAGAAATGAAAAAGAAACCTGCTTTTAGTAAAATTTAAACCAGTTATACTATGTAAAACTTATATATAAAGAAAGTAAGAATCTTACAGAAAGTATGTATGCATATTCTTATATTGTAAATCTAATCTTATTAGAAGTAAGTCTTGTATGCAGTCTTATTTTAGAGCAGCTATATTTTTTATTTATTAAGGTCTTAAAAGCAACAATTTCAACAATATCTGTTTTGGAAAGAAGTTTAAGATTGATTTTCTATCATCAATGTTACAATCTTGTAAGGATTAATTAATTATTTCTATTATTTATTTTTCTAGGCAACATCAGGTTTCCAAACTAATTCTTACCAAGAAAAATCAGATAATACATCTTTTGTAGACTGTGGTTTAGCAGTAAATTCACCTGACTTTGGAAAAACTCCTAAATTTAAGGTAAGTTTCTCTCAAAATGGTTGAAAGACAGGATGTTTTCTTTGGTTTTGTTAAGATCTTAATTTTGGTTTAATTATATACTGTTATATTCAAGGAACACCTTAAAAAGTGTAAATTAAACTCCTGACACACTGATCAGAGATACAAACTTACATCATCTAATTTACTTTCATGCTCAGTCAGAATTTGTCAATTAACATCAGTAAATTTTCAATTAAAAGGACAAAAAAAATATGTTTAGCAATTATAAAAGAATTAAATTTTTTTCTCTAAAGCATATATATATATATATATATATATATATATATTTATAATATATCTTTTAAAAAAAATGACAAAGTGGAAAAAATTTTTTGTGTCATGTTTTGTTTTTTAGGACTTCATCAGACTAAGTTTATGTTTACATTGATGTGACTATGCATACACACAAATGAAAAAGACGCTGAGAATTTTGAACTTAAAAATAATTTTTTTCTTTAATTAGTTTTAAATTAATAATTTGCTACTCAATCATACAGACACATATGAAAAAATAAATGAACAGAAAATATTGAAACACAAAAATTTTATAAGGTGATTAGGAAACTAAAAATGAAAACAAATCATGGTAAAGATGAATAGAATATAACCCTAGAATACACAAATTTTATGATTTTCCTAAAATCTACAAAGCAGGCATCCCAATGCACCTCATTATTTCAAGTATTGGCAGCTCTTCTCACAAATTGGTGAAAGCCATAACAAAAATTTTAACCCTTCTCCTTGGAACAATCAACCCATCACAAAAAATTCAGGCAATCTGTTTGAAAAACTAAGAGAAATAAATATGTCTGACTATCTCATAGTCTAAATATAAAATTCCTTTATCCCAATGTCCCAGTTAATAAATGCTTAAATCTTTTTAAAAAGCATCTAACACAACCACAAATAAGCCTTTCCTGACATTAGCTAAAATAATAAAAATCTGCAGTCTCATCACCAATCAATGCTATTTCACGACTACAATTGAAAAGAATTTATCTCAACTCAAGATAAAATTTGTCACAGCTATGTCAAAAACAATAAAAGACTTAATACAAAACAAAATAATAAGCTAAAACTTGGAGGAATTTACTCTATTACCTGTAATAATTGCTACAAGAAATACATCAGAGAAACCTCAAGGAATTTAAATAAAAGATTATATGAATGCAAAAGGGATCTTTTACAAAACAACACATTAAATGCATTACTTGCACACCGGAAATATTGGCCCATTAATTGTGGATGATGGAAATTTGTAATTTCATGGCTCAACTGCAAATAAGATGAATTTCTGTTACAGTGATATTGAAATAGATTTTAAGTTAGTAACATTTTCTTGATAGCCTTTTACATAAAGCTGTGTACTTGTCATTTATTTTAGGCTTTTAAATACATATCTATTTATGACTAAATTTTTTTTGGTAACAATCTTTGTTGTTTTTGTAAACTAATTGACTATGGTTAAATGTAATTGGCAAAATTCTCAAATAACAGAATTGACAAAGTTCTCAATAAACAATAAGAAAAGGAAGAAAAAGAATGGGGCAAAATAATACTAAGTAAACAATATACGCAAGTCAAAACTAGGCAAAGCAACAATAATAATGCAAAAAGTTCAACAAGTAAAATTGTGTTCACATGTGGAAGGGATACAGTTAAGTGATTATAGCATTCTGACTTCAAGACAAATAAGAGCATATGATGGATGTTAGGAAGAAATTCCAGTTAGTATAAATTTGGAGAGGGAGATGTTCTTAGCAGTCCTCCCAAGAGTTGAAACCAATAATTGTTGTGGTATTCAGGTATATTTGGGTAGAAATAAGTCACCATTATGTTGTGGGAATCGGTACTTTGGATATTAAATATTTATGGGCTCCTGTAATATTTATCCTGCAAACAATATTAGCAGACTGAATGTGAGTCCAGGTAAAATAAATATAAAATAATGGATATAAAACAAACGACAATGCATGTTATTAACAAAAGGAATTACAGGTGTACACAATTGCTATGAAAAGAAAAAATATTGAAACTCACTATGAGAAGTGTGTATGTGTATGAGCAAGTTCAAAAGTCAACAGAAGACCAAAGAAGTGAATGCACCTCAGTGTAAGCATTCCTATCTACATGTGACTACATCTGAAAGCCAGAGCTTTAAAAAAAGAAAGAATATCCAAAATAGTTTTGGAAAAGCTAAGTGGGATAATCCACATAATAATCTTTCTTTATCTACATTTTTTTTTCCCAACTAGATTGGAAGTATAAGCATGTAAGTTGGTTAGGAATGTAAAAATTGTATATATATGTTTTGATCTCAGTTATTGGATAGCTTTCTGAAACTCACTATTTTTTTTTTTTTTTTTTTTTTTAAAACATCTTCAGAAAAGCTGTTCAGAAAAATGAAGTATTGATCATTCCACCAGTTTTGTATTTAAGTATTTATTTGATAACACAAATATTTACACACAAATTTTACTATTTTTAGAGTTTGATTCATCAATATTTGACTGATCAGCAAAGGGATAGTCAGAATCATGCATCTTTTACAAATGACATAAAAGAACACAAATACCAGCCACGATCCTCGACTCTTTATCCAAAATGTCCATGGAAAGATACGACGTCTGATCAGTTCAGTATTGTTAATATATTTACATCCAAGTACAAAGATTTAATTAAAACAGGTAAGTTTGTTTCTTCTATTAACATTATCTCTTCATATTTAAATAAAATTTAGTAATTTTTATAGTCTGTGTAAAATTCACTTTGTCTAAATTTGTGATAAATTGTGCAGGATTATTGTAATTTTATAGACCCATTTGTTTTGCATTTAGTATCTGTGTATTTCTCTTTATAAAAAACATTAGCAAAATTAGCATGTCATCTTCAAAAGTGAAAATTATCTTGAAATTTTCTCTAAAGAACTGGATTTTGACATCACAGTGGAAATCAAGAGAAAAGTGGCCCAGGTTTTAGACATAGAGCTAAATTTGTTGACTGAAACCTAATATGGCATCCAATCACCTGTTAGACATGCAATGCATATTATCAAAAAATTCTTCTAATGAAGAAATATTCAGTGAAAAAAAGAAAAAAAATATGTATCTACTTTAAGAGAGGAGGGTATAACATCAACCTCTATTTCAAGGACCAAGCAGACCCAACAACAGATAACAATAGAAAAAGGAATATTATCTAGTTCAACCCATCCTTCAACATGCAAGTAAAAACAAATGTATGGAAAATGTTTTTTAGTCTTCTAAATAAGCACTTCCCAAAAACATCTGGGCTGTACAAATTATTTAACTATAATACAGTCAAGTTGAGCTACAGTTGTACTAGCAACCTAGGTAATATTATTAAGATTGAACAAAAGAAATTTAAATCTTGAAGAGGGTGTGAGAGGTAGAAATAAAGTCCTTTGTAATTGCAGAAGAAATATAATTCTTCCTTAGGGGGAGTATGTAGCACAGAAGGGGTAGTGTATTTTGCTGGGGTGGAAAATGACAATGGCAGTGCAAAAAATTACATTGGTTGTTCTGAGTGTCCATTTAAAGAGAGGTGGTATAATCATACCTCGTCATTTAGAATACCTGAACGTAAGTTCAATATGAAGCTAGCAAACTACTATCGGAACTTGAGAGAAAAAATGAAAAAAAGCATAGTCATTAAGTGGAGCATTTTATGAAAGGTAAAGCCTGGTAAAGTGAATGGCAACTCATATAGGCTGTTAGAAGTTGTATATTGCAACATACAAGTGTATAATGGGAAGTCCAAAATTATGGCCAAATGTAGGTACATGAGGAGGTTTGTATGAGCTCAGATGATGTTGGAGAAATATTTTTTTTTTTTCCATTCCTTTGCCTCATTACTTTCAGTGCAACATTAAGAAATTCAAGTTCTTGTGTTGTCTCTAATTAGTTTGCTGAGTTAATCAACTGACAAGACCTTGGTGATCAAAACTGCAGTTGTGTTCCATTCAGCATTTTAATCTTTTTAAGATATTAAATTGCTATACAGGTTTTTTTTATTACTTGAAATTGAGCACTTTAACGCATACAATTTTAAAACCACTATTTTAGTGTTTGTTTATTTCAGTGTGTGTATATATATATATATATATATATATATATATATATATATATATATATATATAAAATATCTTAGTGGCTTTACTGCCTTGTTTGGAGTGAAGTGATTAGAAAGAAACATCTATACATTTTCAAGTTTTTAGCCCATTTCTTTGTTTTTACTGTATTTTATTAAAGAAAATTATATAAATCAAACTTTATACCAGTAATTTGTAAAACCATTTTTTTTTTTTTTTTTTTTTTTTTTTTTTTAAAGACTCTGATCATTCATCGGATGCAGTTGAGAAGCACATTGCTAAATTGCATTCTCCTGCTGTGTCTCCAATCAGTTCAAATGGCAGCAACAAGACACTGGCACCACAGCTATCTGTAAATTTACCAAAGCATAACTATACTGGACTATCATCTAACGTGGGAAAGCCTGTTAAAGCTGATATCTGTTTAGAGGCAAAAGAAAATGTCGTCGGTATTCAGTCAGAGAAGAAAGATGAAGCTTTATCAGATGCTGAAGTACTTGCTCATGTCCCATCAGAAACTGTATCTAGCCATTTTGATGCAACAAGAAGCAAATCCTCTCGTAAGTCTGGCAACCAAAGAGGAATGTCTGCTCGGAAGAAATTGTAAGTTGATATATCATCAGGATTGATATTAAAATAACTACATACATATAGAATTATAAAAGTGGACATTGAGGTCAACATCTAGCTGCTGGATGTTAACCAATATCCACTTTTATATTTTATATTTACATATGCTCTATCACTGATATCAAGCACTTTAACTCATAAATATAGCATAACTTAAAAGTATATTTTTATCATATATGGTAAAAAATCTATAAAAATATCTGGTTTATAATAAAGATATTAAAGTAAAAAAAACAAAAAAGCATTTGAAATTCATTCTCACAAACCATTTTCAGTTACTTATTCAACATTATTTAGTCTCTTTTCAACATTAAATTTAAAATTTAGTCTGAAAAATATTTCATCTTAGGAATGCATCATCATAAATTCTGGTCCTGAAGTAATCTTATATAAAATTGAGATTTTTATTTGTAAATTATTTTTGGAGTAAAATAGAGTGAAGGGATAATGACTCCTTTTTGCATTAATGAGTCATTGTACAATTTTAGGCAATATAAAGAATGTAATGTTTCACAGAATATTAATTTTCTGTCAGTATTTCTCGTGATAGAAAGATTGTTTCCTCTGAAATTATTCTATTTGCTTTGTTTTTGTTTTTCAGAAATCTTTTCAAAGCTTCTTCCAAATCTGTAAATGTTGATTCTCATACAGATACCAGTTTGCAGTCTTTTAGGTGAGGCAACTTACTAAACACTTAATTAACATTATCATTGAAATCATGTTGAAAATTATTCCTTCTAAATTGTATAAATAAAATGATTCTTTATAAAGATATGTATGGACTGCCATCAGTGGCAAACCTACATTTTTGGGACTCTGACGCTTGAACAGATATGAGGGTCCCCTTCACAGCCAGCAAAAATTGAGTTGAGTATCCAATTGCCAAAATTTAGGTTATGAATAGATTATGGTGAGCTCCACGAGCCCATGCATTTGGGGGTTTGGATGCTGCAAGCCATCTAGAAAAGTTAAAAGTTTGACCAATTACAGGGGAATTTTGAGTCCATATAAAATCAGTATTAGGGTATAGTCTAATGCCAACATTAGATACTTCAATCCATTGGCTTATGATTCTATCACTGTTTTTTATTTCATTTTACTTGGTCGAGTTAGCTCAGACATTCATGAGTCTATCAAATTTAAACTAGAAAAATCTCTCCCAAGAGCTGATATATTAAATGGGAATCAGTACAATTGCCACCCTCTGTAGAAATCATGATGTTTCTTTTTGAATTTGTGATAGAATTGACTTGACTAATTGTACTGATTCCCATTTAATATATGCTGCCCAATATACCAAGTATGACATGATTTATATGGGTTGTACAACAGAAAAATTAAATAAAATATTCAAGGCCACATGTATAATATCAGAGACAACAATGTCACATCAACAGATCTTGCAGAAAGTTTCATTACAAATGACTGTAATTTTGACAAAGATCTTACACAATCTGAGAAAATATTCAGAATCTACCAACCTTTCAACCCTTAAAATGCATGAGGATAGTTATGTATGCAAATTGCTAACTTCCTTCCCCGGGGGGGAATGAACAGAATGACAGGAGATTTACATAAGACTTATACTAAGTTATTTGATTAATTCCTCTTAGTAACTAATCAACTAACTTAAAATTCCAAGATAAGCATAATCACCATCATATTAAGTTTCAGTTACATGCCACTCATGCTGATGACATTTCATTTGTTTTAATGTGTTGATTAACAGTACAGCCGTTTTATCAAGACAAGCAGCATTTATACAAAGACCTATAATTTTTGTGTAGATATTTTAATACTTATATTCAAATTTTAAACAAAACTTGAAGACACATACTGTCAAAATATTGTTTAAAATTGTCAAACACTTTTTCTTTTCTTTTTTTTTTTCTTTTTTTAAAAATCATGCTTTTTTTTAAGTGTTGAAAAATATTGGAAGAGTTACACCAATCATTTTATTTATAATTATTATTATTCTGCAATCCTATTTTTAATTTTTTGTGTTTTTATTTCAGTGAAGACAGTGAAATTGATAATCGTTCAACCAGTGAAGCCCCATTACAGAGTCAGTCTACCTTGGGTGATTCTACTGATTCTGATGTATCCAGTTTGTTAAATGATCAAACAAAGACATGTGCAAATCACTCTTATTCCAGGGTAAGGATGAAAATGTCATAAAACTGTATCTGTAATACATGTATTTGTATGTTTTGTCTGTAACTTTTTGTTGTATAAAAGTTATCCCCCTTGCACTGATGATTCTGGTGGTAGCATCTTTATGAAAAATAGTGAAAAGACTGTGAAATAGTAGAATATGATGATAATTGGTAAAATATATTTAAAGTTTCATGTCGAACAATCCAATAAACATAAAAACTTCAGCAATATCTCAATTTCATATATGATTTTGTCATAATTTAGTATTTCATTTCCGAGACGAGTAATTGTCAATATTCTTGTGTTATTTTGAACTATTGTTCTCATCTTGCTTGATATAGATGTTATTATAGCCACAGCATTTTCATGTTTGGTTATACATGTATTATTTTCATTTTGTGGTCATGAGTTCAATCTTTGGATCATGTGAAGCACAGATTCAACAGAAATAAACAATAAATGACATCACAGTGATAAAATATCATAATAATCAACAGATAATCCATATCAGCCAATCAATGTACACTCTGATGATGACCAGAGAGTACTTGGTTGAAACATTGTGTCTATAATAATATCTATATCAACCAAGATGAGAACAATAGTTTGAAATAATACAAGAATAATAGTCTTCCATGTCCATAAATCTATATCTATAAAACAGAATGTGTGTGTGTGTGTGTGTGTGTGTGTATGTGTGCATACTATTTATGCATGTCCACATTTCTTGACCAATTTTGATGGAATTGTACAGACATTTTGCAATTTTACCAAAGTAGGTCAAGACCAACTTTTCAATTTCCAGCTCCTGGGGCTTAGCAGAAAAATCAATAAAACTGAAAGTGACTTTTTGGAAAAACCAAGGCAAAGTTACACACGAAAAAAATTTTTACTGGATGAGCTGATGTTCTTTGCATTTAATGCAAAACATAGCTCATGTTACAAGAATTATGTAGAATGCTTGATAGTTTTCCTGTGACATTGACTTCACACAAAAAAATTGCAAAAAACTGAAAAAATTAGGTTTTTTATACTATTTAAAATAAAAACTTGAATAATTTTCTCTTTTTTTTTTTTTTTTTTTTGTCTGTTTTTCTTCAAACCTGTCACAAAAATTTTCCATCATGCAAGAAATAAGATAGTGTGGTTTTAGTTCTGCTTGTTTCCCTGTGTATAACGAAAAACCACAAAAAACTTCAAAAAGCCCATTTTTCAGCCATAACTCCTTGGTTTTTTATCCAATGCTTTCCAGATTTGCCATGTAAATTACATATAACACACAAATTGTCTTGCATGAATGTTCGGTTTAGATTATTTCAGTTAAGTGGATGAAATCTGTGATAAACTAGGTACAAATCAGCTTTTGCCATTTAGCCAATAGTTTCTTCATATGATTTCATCCTAAATTGGCATTCGAACAACCTTTGATGCAAAGATTGTTTGAGAAGTATTATTGAAGCATTAAAAGTGAAAAATTCTGAACCTCTTATTAAGACCAGGTTTCCAGTAAACATGCAAAGAAGGAGGGGGGGGGGTCATTCATGCGTTTCCACTTGCAGTTGAATCAAGCTCTCATGCTTCATCCCTGTTTTTGTTTGATTATTAGATTTGTGAACAATGCCATACTATTTGAAAGTTATTGCAACCATAGGAAATTTACTGAATATCTAAAACATTGAAACAAATTTAACCCCAAGCAATGACCATACAAGATGGTTTTATTGATGGAATTCCTTTATTAAGAACAATTAATCACTTACAAAGGACATACCACCGTAAAAATGATGGTAGGGAATAGCTTGGTATATCAATGGATGATGCATGCAAGCGGGGATGCGAGCAGACATTTCTAGACGGGGTACAGTTATACAATTTCTGTCATATACACCTTGCAACGACACGTACCTTGGCTAGAATATAAATAGATTTAATGCTGCTTTTCCTCTAGAGCCTCATAACTTTTGCAAGACCTATTTTTAGCATCTCCATGCATTCAGTATAATTGCACTACAGTCCTGAATGACCAAACATACAACTCCTTTTTACAACTTTTCTTTTATTTTTCTTGTCTCTGTATATTAAAATTTTATCAAATACTAATTATTAGTTGATTATATATAAGTATATAAAGTTAAATTTGTTCTGGCATAGAGCCACTAGTGTAGAGTTATCTCGTAAGGGTTGAAATCACTTTCGTTTTGGAAGACAAGTTTGCTAAATACAACATCATGCTAAGAAACCCTTATAACATCTATGTATTTAAATAGCTATTTTTTTTCTTTCATGTATATTTGGATAATTTAAAATGTTTGCTCAGTTTATTAAATAAAAAAAGACAATTTAAAAAATAAAATTAATTTTAATGAACCAAATTTAATAATTTTCTTAAACTATCTTGCCATTTTTCTGGCAATTTCATAATTCTATCTTGCTCTTTGTTTTTTTTTCATTAGGAGAACTAAAGAAACTTGTTCACTTATGTTATCCTGATGGATTATCATGCCTTTTATTTTCACAAACTTAGGACACTTTTTTTCAGTTGGTCTAATTATGAACACTTCATATTTGATTCAATGAGCTCAAAGTAGGGGACTCTCTTCCAATCTCAGTGTTTCATTGAATGTAACGGACAAGGAAATTTCTTTTTTATTCAGTTTTTTTAGTGTCCTTACAACTTATCTTTTCTGAAGTCTAAGAGTTTGCAAAAACTACCTGCCGTGATTATTGTCCCCATTGCTTTCAGTTAATTCATTAGTCGTTTTCAAGAGGTTTGTTGTTAATATATTTTTCTGTTTGAGGCAGCATACTTATTTTATAAATTGAAAAGTTACTACTGACCTGATCATTTTAGATAGTATTTGTTTGTATTTGGTACAAAATACTTCTGGAAGCAGTATTTTTTAATGTAGTTAACATGAAACATTACTAATGATAAAAACAGAAAAGGTCAGCCTATTGAGTACTTTTAATAGATGTAAGAAAGATTTTTCAGATAATTCTATATCTCTAAGAATATACTTGAATTCCATAATAAAAATGCTGTCTTTTGTTTTTTTAAATTCTTTTTAGCTTTCCAGTTATTCACATCACCGAGGGAAAGATACTGCTGGCCCCAACATGGCCAGCAAACGCTATGCTCCAAGCACATTGCCTATGAGATTGCGTGCTGAACTTTACAACTTTGAACAGACTGTAGAAACTGTTTCTCTTGCTCAACAGGAAACCTTTTCTTTAGGACAAATATTCCAGGTAACTTTGTTTTGAATTCTGTCAGGCTATTTTGGATGTGTAGGTGCTATATGTGGAAAATAGAATTGGCAGGTAAAGTTCAAATTCTGACTTAGGTTGTTGTCTTTGCTTTGCACTAATGCCATTGGGAAAGGCATAAATTCATCTCTTCTCTCCTGCACTCAGTTGTAGGTTGGTTTATTGTTTAGCTGTGTATCAACGCCTCTATGGGTTATTTAATACTGAAATGCACATAATTTTATACTTTCAGGGGAAAGGTTTTTTTTTTTTTTTTTTTTTTTATAGTTTGTAGATCAAACAATTTTGTTAATAATTTTACTATAAAAATGTATTTTAGATTTTTGTAGTGTTGCATTGATTGCCATTTTGTATAAAGATGTATTGTTGCTCATTTTATTATAAAAATGTACTGTTGTTTTCTGTTGAGGTGGGTGTTGGGGGTTGGCACTATTTGCCCATAGCTGGGATGCTAACAGGTGCTGTCAGCACAGATCAGAATGGATCTTGGAATGACAGCAATTAAGAGGTGGTTCCATGCTTCTCAAAACCTCCTGATCAGAGGCCTTGCTGCTTGATGTAGTTTATCGTCATACCCAGGATGACCCAGTTATAGGTAAAATATTAAAGCAGACTGGGCTCTCTACCCTTGGTAGGGCAGTAGGAAATCATTCTATAATCTCTCTCAAGAACAGTTATAACAATACATACTTTAATGATATTAAAGGAAAGGAAGTTGTAGAAAGCCATGATAAACATCATCCTGAAGGGACCTGACACTTAAGGAGGGATAATTTGAATTTATTTTGTGTTGCATTTATCTGTTAATTTATACTAAAGCTAAAAGAAAAATCTTCAAAGAACTTCTTTACTTGTTGCAGCAAACAGAAAAAAGTGTATGCGTGTATGCATGCATGCATATATGATGATGATGATGATGATGACTGTCTACTTGATTTCAAATACAATCATTCTCTTAACAGTTGCTTGGTTCTTTTGTGAGCTTTCAAAATGGCTTTTTAGACCTGCATTTGTTTTGGCAACAAATAGGCAAATGTAACATACAGACTCAGTGTTATCTCTGGTTGGAATGACAAACTATTCAGCATTTTGATATCTTTTCTGTATATTAAACATCTGACTTTGCTTCTAAGTTAAACATTTCTAGTTTGAAAGATAATGACTTCTTGTTTCTGAAATGCAATTGAATCTAAGCATTCAAATAAGCTTGTAAGTATTTTTGCTCATAGAAATGTTTTGAATTAACAGAAAATACTTGATCTTTTGCAATTGATATGATTCAAAATTGATCAATGTTTATTTTCCATCTAACAGAACCAGCAGCAGAAACAGGACCAAGAGCTACATTACTGGGACCGTCTAAAACATGCAGTGAATCTATTAGATGGGAAAACTTCTGGTCCAACATCACAAATGCCTGAACATTCGGAAGCCCTTATGTCTGGCGATCAGTCATTTTCTCTGAAAAGTATCACCGCTCACGAAGAGAAGAATACTTTGGCAAAGCATCAAGCTGAGTCACTTTCAACACAAACTCATGCTGCAAAAGTAAGATTATTATGCAGATATTGTTTCTTCTTGTGCTAATTAAGTTTTCATTTTTATCATTATCTTTTTATCTTATTTTTATTTCTTTTTACTGCTTCTTAATTCTTCCAAATAAACATTATCATTTTCAGATATTTCAAATAGTGACAAACTGATTTGCAGGGGAATGGTTTTTTTTTTTCTTGTAATGCAATGGTGACACTGGTTTTAATTTAGGTTTATTTTACTAGAAATTATAGTGATAAAAAGTTTGTAGAAGTATCCAGGATTTTATAAGTACAGGACTAGTACATTGGTGGACAAGTTCTCTGAATGAAATCATTTATATTTTGCCAGAATCTTTTGTACAATAAGGTTTTGAAAACTGAAAAAAAAAAAGGTTGTGTTTATGCTGTCAGTCTTTGCTGGGTAGTAAAGGACAATAGAAAGTTTGGAGTTAAGAGATTAGGCAGAGCTTTTTTAGTGGGAAATAATTTTGTACAATTATGCTTTTGAGTAGTGAATTGTTTACATCTGAAGTAATTCACTCCCCACCACCAATGGCTGACAACTGTGATTCAGGGACAAGCTGTATTTGAAGAAAGAAAGAAAAAAAAAAAAATACCAAAATATTGTCAAAAATCTAATAATTTTTATTTGGGAGTGGGGTGCTGAAAAGTTATTGGCTTAATAAAATCTGAACATATATATTAATTGCTTTTGAAATGGCTTTCTGGTTGGGCTGATAATATTTTACCACCACCTTATAAGTTCAGTTAGATGAGATTTCTAAAAAAAATGCAAGAAAGTGGAGAGAAATTTAAAAAAATGTATTTGTGTAAATAGTTTCACTTTAGGAAAACATATGCTTGTCTAAATCTAAAATCCTTTTGTTTAAAATTTATATCAGATTTTTATATGACAAACTGTTAGGAAGGTTTTTTTTTTTTTCTTTTTCAAAATACTATTGAAATAAAAATTCATTCATCCCTAAGAAGCATGAGATAATGCAGTAATTTCTGTATTAGTATAATTGTAATTCTCATCAAAGAAATGGACAAGCTTCAACACAATATTTTTATACATTCTTTCTTTTAAAAGTTTTTGGTGACAACTTAAAAAAAATCTAAAGATATTTCTTTAAAAGAAGAATAATCCTTATTATATAACCTATCAAAAAATGTGGTTACTAAATTTAACTTTTGACCTCATTCTATTCATGATTTTATTTTAGTCCATTCCAAATATAAAGACAATGACTAGAGATGTTTCTTTAAGCACTTTTGTTTTCTCTCTCTTTAAGCAACAGTGTGTCAAACATTCTATTGTCTAGAATAATTACTTTGCAGTTCTATTTTTAATCTTCATTAAGTTTTATTGAAAAATAAATGATTTAAATAGTAGCTCACTTTCAACATTCTCCCTCATTGAATTTGAAGTTAGTATCGAACATTTTCATTCAAAGAATTTAAATTTCTCTGAATCTGTGACCAATGTCATAAAAAATATACTAGTAGTTTTTGACTATAATTCCAGATCAGTCAGCATTATTTAATAAGTAATTGAAAAATTGGTTGGTAAAAAATGAAAATTCTATTCATGATTTCATTTCAGGTCATTCCAAGCACAATGGAGAATCTAAGTAATTCAGATATAAGTGAATCTTCGTATAGCCACAGCCATGCTAAACACTTGAATTCTGCCGCAGGGAAATATTCTCCAACTTCTACTTCACAAACAGAATCAAAACGGTGAGTATATGCTGTTCACTTTTTACAGTTGCAACCATTGCAATGTGACAATAGCAATAGAAAAATCCAAACAAGATTTTATTAAATTTTATTTTATTATTCATAAAATAATATAGGACTATATTAACTTTCATGGTTCCCAAATAAAATTACTAATAGTACATCTAAGTGGACAAAGAAATTAATACTGGTGACTGTCAATTTCACCCCCTTAAGTAATTAAAAATATTTTTTTTTTATTTATATTCTCTTATTTTCATTGTTTCTTAAAGATACATTTTTCAAGAAAAATACATCTTTAAATATCTTGTAGAGTTATGCTTTCTTTCTAAAATACTAAATGTATATATTATTTCTTTTATATTAGTTTATTTTTATCTAATCATGAACAAATGAGGATACTCATTTGAACAAATCAGTATATTATAATAATAATTCAAATTGATTTCTTATTTTGTCATCAGCCGTTCACACCGTAAAAATTTGCATCACTCATCTCATCATGAAAGTCAGCATAGTGATGAAAGTAGCAGCAGCAATAGCAGGTGTTCAGTGAAGACTGCCAGTGATGTAAGGGTTGGTGAGGAAATGTCTGATAGTATCACTGAAGACATTTCTGGTAAGTGAACATTGTTGCATGTTTTTGACTTTTATACAAAACTTGGATGTAATACTATTTGTAATTGAAATAAACTTTATAAGGAGGTGCTGAAAAATTCTTGACCCAACCTAATTCCCAAATTTTAATTTCTTTAGTTGAACTTCTCAGCACCTTAGCATTTTTTTTATACTAATGTTTGCCCCTATAAAAGGCCCAAGAGCCACACAAGATAGATGGTTACTGTTCAATGTTGTATGAGCATAAGAAAGTCAAGGAGTCAAGTTCATGAGGTCATATAGGAAAGATAACAGTTAAGCCTAGAATTGAAGAGGTCAAGATTGTAGTGATCAGAAAAATAATCTTGCTAGGAGTCTGTTCCACAAATCAGCAGTTCTTGGGAAGAAGCTGTCCAAGTGGAACTTACTTCTTAATAAGAGAGTACAAATGGAATGGAGATGATTCATTGGTGTGTACTTGACATGGTGGGTTCTAGCTGCAAAGATCTGGGTAGGTAGGACCATGGAATGTAGCTCATGAGAACAGTTACTATAGAATAGTAATAGTAGTAAGGTACTACTGAATGCATTTGAATATCTAAGATGTATTAGCTGAGACCACTTGTACTATTAAGTTCTTTTGTTAACTATTTAGTTGATCACTCACATATTAGAAAAATATTGTTAGTTACTAAAATATTTGATTTTTACATGAAGTATTCTTTGTATTTAAACTGGCTAATATATTTGTTTGTATTGTCAATGATATATCATATCATACTTATTATAAAACCCAGGTTGTGTGTGTTCGTTTATATATTGGATTGGATTTCCTACATTTTTCAACCGATTTCAACAAAACTTCACAGGACTATGTAAAATTACCTTGCGGTGGTTCTGACAGCACCAAAAATTGAAAAAACTCAATTGTTTTTGCACAAAATCAATTTGAAAACACAATTAAGAGGCATCGCGAAAATGAAAGGGGGACAACTCATATCGAGTTATACTTATAAAACCCAGGTTGGTTGTGTGTGTGTGTGAGTTCATTTATATATGGGATTGGATTTCCTACATTTTTCAACCGATTTCAACAAAACTTCACTTTTTTTTTGGCAGGTAGTGTCTTGCACACTTTTTCCTTTATTTTTACATTCAGAATGCTTTAAAAATTCCATTTACAAGACAATTGTTTATAATAAAATTCTATTCAATCGGTAGACTCATAACGATTGAAAACAATGTTTTTGTTTGGGTTTGACCAATTCGTAAAAACAAACAAAAAACAAGAAAAAAAAAACTAATTAAGACATGCGTGTCCGTCAACCTTAAACAATAATCTTTGTCAATTTTATTTTTCAGTCTTTATGATGGTTGATACTTGATCTATCTCTTACTGTTACATCCCCAGGCAACACCGGGCTCTACTGCTAGTAATAGATATATTTCATCAAAGAACCCTTTTTACCATCCATCAGCATGGTTGATGCTAACCTCCAGGACAGTGATTTATTATGCCTTCTCTGACTAATGTTTTCTGCTGACATGAAGTGGAAAGAGTATATTGATAAGTCTGCAGCTAGGAAAGTTGGTTCACTGGGTCATGCTAGATAATTTTTCTCGCCAGAATCTTACATATTTATAAGTCTACCATTCATTCTTGCTTTGAATACTGCTGCTACATCTGGTCTTATGCTTTTGCTATGTATTTAGAGATTCTTATTGATCTTGACTTGGCATTTTGCCTACAGTCACTTTCCCATCATCATAATGTAGCTTTGCAATGTCTTTTTTGTAAATACTTTCATGGTAATTGTTCTGATGAACTTTCCTCTTTGGTACTTAGATTTTGTGAATTTAAATGCAGTACTAGATTAGCAGCAAGGTCTCATCCTTTTACAGTTGAAATGGCTAGATGTAACCAATAAGTTTTATTCTAACAATTTCTTCTATCTCACTTTTTGCTTGTAGAATTCTTTTCTGGCTTCTTGCTTTCTAGTCAATTTTGTATTTAAAATTTTGAAGATCAATGTCACTCATTACCTACTGTCTAAATTCTTGTTCTTTTAATTGTTCTGTCATATTGTTTACTTTTTTCTCCTATTCTCTAGCACTCAGTAACCCCTTGTATCAGTGGCATTATTGCTTTGCTTGTGGTGAATTGATTAAAAAAGTATTCAAGTAGTGGGGAATGAATCTAAAGGTCTTCTAACATATTATTTAATTGGTTGGTCTGTATTTATGGGTCCCATTTGATTATGTTAGAAAAGAATCTAAGATATTTAGACATAAGTCATCTCTTTTTAGTATAAAAAAAACAAAGTTAGCATTTTAAAGAGTTATATTAATTTCCCTTAAGTATTGTACTGCTTTATTGTGTTGATTACAACTTTCTATCATTTTTAATTTGGTACCTCCATATATTCACAATACCTAAGCTTTAAAATGAATTTTTTAAAATCTTTCTTGAAGCTTTTTAGTTTTAATTTCAAGCTAATAGATTAAATTGAATATTTCCAATAAGCAAAAATACTTTGCTTGATTTCAAAATTAATTTAAAACTATTTAAATTAACTGGAAGGAGTTTTTTCATTTTTTTTCCCCCAAGAAAATGATTTTAGCCCCATTAGCAATGTAATTCTCTTAAAGAAATGTTCCAAAAATAAAATATACTTTTCTAAAACTTTATTTGAGGAATATTAACTGATTTAAAGTATAATTAATCTGATTTGAAACCAATATTGTTTACTTTAAGTTTAAAATATTGCAGAAATGCAATTTTTTAACACATTAGTAGCTGTTTATTTAATCTCTTCATGTGTTGACAGCTTGATGACAGATTGATATTTATCTAACGTTCTATGGGAGCTTTATCTGTAAAAAAATAATTGAATATAATGTGAGCACTTTTATATATAATTTTTAAGTATTCAGTAATCTTAAAAATTTAGGAAAATATTATCTATAATGTTTTATTGAATTTTAGATATTTTGGCTTTAAATTTACTATAGTTATTGCTCTTATCTTTTGATAATGTTATGTATGGATATCAGTATCTACAAAAATTGGCACGTTTATACACAAAAAAGTTTTTTAATTCTTTAAAAAATATTGGTGTTTGATGATTTGTACTAAGCTTTTCCATTTATGATTAGCAAATATAGTTTTTACTTAATAATATAATCTAAAAGGGTGAAATTAATACAGAATTTTAAAAGATTTAAAACTTTAATTATTCTAATTAAAATTTTTAAAAACTGAAAATTCTTTTTCTTAGGACAATAATGTTCTTATTTATAAAAGCAATTAAAAGAGCTTTTTTAATTAAATAATGTCTTAGTTTCATTGAATTTTTTATTTTATGATTCAGATCAGATTTTCAGTAAATGTTTGACAAAAAAAAATTGATTTAAATTATGCAAGGAGTTCTGTATTTAAGTAATATAAATATGAAATGGGTGAAATTTTAATTTCCCAAAGTTTCATAAAATTAAGTAAGTAGAGGGTAATAGATGTAAAAAAAAAAAAAATTAAAAAATGGTTTCATTCATTTGTGAATAAATCTTGAAAATTTTATAAAATATTTAACAATTATTTGATTTTCTTAAGAATTTACAGATCAATATCTTTTTCACCTAAAAAAAAAAAAATTACTAAAATTTCCTATACTAATCTTTGGCCATTTACCATCCCACCCACCAAGCAGATTTTTAACCAAAATTTCAAATGTACTAGAAAGGATTAAAAATTTAATAAAATAATCAAAAAATACTTTGTTCTTTCCTCTTAATAATATAAAAATTTTGTTGATAAAACTTTGTTTTATCACATTTGGGTCCATTTTCATCATACTATACTGCAAGCAGAACCGTCCCCACTCCTACCTTTTTTGTTTTGGTTTTTAGATTACCATAAAATACTTTGAAATAACTGTTGGGTCTTTTATGATATTTTTGAAAATTTGTCTTTTTTTTTTTTTTCTCTTAAAACTTATATGCTTATTTATTGATTTTTTTCAACTTTTGAATAAAATAGATTTTTTAAAAAATAATTATTTTCTTGAAAAAATAATGTTATGAAAATTGTTTTAATATTCATTTTTTATTACTATCTAGATTGTACAAGTATATTGTAATTAAACAGATAAAACTAAAATAAGTGGAAACCAAAAGATATTTCTGTGTATCTAGCTGTTTTAATGAGCATTGTTTGATTTGTTTTTTTATTCTAGATCTGGTCTACAAAGTAGAGCAAAAAAAAAAAGTGGCATAGAACTACTTTTGTCATATGTTTGTACTGTAATATCAAGCGTGATTTCATACTAGAGAAAATAACATTTTGCAAATAGGTAGTAAAATGAAACAATTTAAAAATCATTGCAATAGAATATGAAGGGAATGGAGATGATTCATCCCAATGTACACAACATGACAGGTCTTAGCTGTAGGGTCTGAACCAGTGAAACTAATGAATGTAGCATGTCAGAACATTTGCCATGGAAATAGCAATAGAGTAGTGAGAGGCTTGCAGTGTTGCATCTGTGAGAAAGGGATTGTAAAGTGGAAAATAATTCATCACCCACAAGGGTGCTTTTGAAGGTTGGAAAGTGAAGATTTTTGGTCTGGTCTAACTGTTGTAAAAATAGAGCATAGCTGATGGAATTGGATACTTCCTGGGGCAGTACAAAGAACTGACCATTTTACCTGTATCTTTAGTCATTGATTGTATATGAGTTCCACTTGGTGTCTAGGGTGCACTCATGACCTAATAAATGTACAAAGGAAAGCACAACCATTCATCATGATAGGTGAAAATTCAGGGTCTGCTCAGAAACATTACAAGCTTGGCTTTGGCGGTATTAAATGTTACAAGCCAGTTATTGAGCTGTTTTGAGATGGATCAGAGGATAGATCAGCAGCCAGGCTCTGGTCATCTAGATTTTTGGATGTGTACCCATACACTGTGATATCTTTATAGATCTTTACTAATGATCAGATTATGTTCTTATGCACATAGTTAAT